GTTAAAGGATCTTTGTGAATTTTTGTCGCGATGCGAACTGCGTCTACGGTAGCTTGATGGGGAAGGTTGTTCCGTTTAAATTGATCTCTCGAGCTAGCGGCTGCGATTTTTTTCGGAGGAGACACAGGGTTTGAAGTTTTTGTGAGGAGTTCATCACTTTTTTTAGCTTGATGGGGAAGATTGTTCTGCTTAAATTGATCTCTCGAGCTAATGGCTGCGATTTTTTTCGGAGGAGGTACAGGGTTTTGGAGTTTTTGTGAGGAGTTCTTCACTTTTACAGCCGGTTCTCCGGCTGCCCAGATTTGTAACAGGTGGCAAGTGCATTAGCCGTCTGCATCCTCCACCGGAGGTCGAACAGGACGCGGTCGCTCGATCCTTCCCGTGAATCTCTCAACTCATCTCTGATTTGGCAGAGATGAGTTAGGAGATTGCCATAATGGTAAGCCACCACCGTCAACTGCCGCATGGTATTACCATCGCGAATACGCGAGCCCCCAATGGTAAGAAATTCGTTGCGCCGCCCTTGGGGGCAAATAACGGTGAAAGCTAACGTACGAAATCAGAGGCAGCACATGGTGCGATCGCGCGACTCTGCCCGTGAGCAATCTCCCAACTCATCTCTGTATATATATGAGAAGTCAAATCGTTGGGGAAAGTATTCCCCCAATTGGGTGTACCGATTAGTTTGAAATTTTACCACGTAAATATGGAGGCGCCAAAGTAGGTCCTGAAACTCATGAAATTTCATTTTTCATTAATAATTTATTTACTCATCATGGACTAGAACCAACATGGTGTGGTCCGTGTCCAATTTCGACGTTTTACGCTTCTTTGAGGCTTAGAATAGAAAATGAAGAGTTTCAGGACCTAGCTCGAATCCCCTGGATTCATGGTTTCCGAGGTTCTAATTGCCTGCAGAGGGACACTCTGCGCCATCTGTGATTTCCGTGTCAACTAAATTTCCACCCGAGACCTTGCATTACCATCGTTTTAACATAGCAGCGCGTGACACTGTTTTGCCTCTATTCCATTTAAATGCAAGTTTCTCGATTACCAGAGTGTTCTAAATTGTCGTGCAATTGTCCTGATACTTCCGTTTCTCATATTAGAGCCCTCAATGATTGTATATCGATCGAAATACGAGTTCGACGCCATTTTAGTTTTGGTTTTGGCTAAGTTATCAAATTTTTGGCAAAAATCCAAATTTTGAAAATATCAGGATACTTCCTAGGTGCTCACGAGTTACGTGTCAGTTTCAAACCGTTCGATTCAATACCTTTTAAAAAAAGAAAAAAGTGTCTTATTCGAGTTGACTGATTTGAGGGGGGGTTCACTTCACCTTAATAGGCCTCCGAATTTTTTAGTAATTTGTAACAGAACGTAACGTTCAATTAAGCTCGAATAAAAATCAGTAAGTCTCCATAGATTGTACACGATTTTCCGACACATGCACTCGTAAATCTCTATGACTTAGTCATTTGTAACATAGCGCATGAAGCCGAACTTAAATAATAAATGGCAAAGCTCATAGCATTGTATGTACACATTAATATCTCGATAAACGTTTGGAAAATGGTACTTTGTTACGTGTAGAATAAATGATCTAATTCAACATGTTCAATAAATACTATATTTAGAAGCCTTTTTACTAAGAGTATACGTGATTTATGTAGGATAATCCAGCAGGGAAGATCTGTGCAATCTTGACGGTAAATATCTTACAAATGTACACTAATAATTGTCACAAATTGGGACTTTTTTTACAAGGAAATCTACTACTTAACCCTCTATAACGCCACATGGATTTGAAGTCATATCCGTATATCGATATTTCTCCAGTTTTACTCAATTTTTCCTGTAAAATTTAATATAGCATATCATTGTACCATTCCTTTGTAACCTAATGATTCGGTTACAAATCAATAAATAGTTAATATCTGCAAATTTCACATTGTATCACTAAAAAATGATACAAATTCTTGTCTTGTACAAAAGAAGAATTGAGTCACAGAGGGTACAAAGTAGCAAGGAGACGATACTTATAATCAGTTCCACAAAAAGCGGTCCCAGAATCGAAATCCAGGGATTTCAGATTTTCGCTGATCAATGATGCGAGCGCCACGCGCGGAAAATCTCGAAACTTTGATACTACGGTACCAAAACATTTCCTATCGATATAACTTAAAAAAAAAAATGCTTTTCATTTTGCAATTAAAGTACTTTCAGAGCGATAAAGACTATCAGACGATAATTTTTAATGGCAAAGATTCACCAAATAGGCGCTCTCGGAAACTAAATTAGCAAAAATCCGAAGAGCTTGGACCTAACCTTAAAGTGGAACCAACTTCGATACACAGAATTGTATCTTCTAATACTACTTCGTGACAAGGAATAACTACACAACTGTCAAAATTGCACAAATCTGAATCACACACCACATTCTTCATTGGTTTTCACTCATCGGTCACTTTATTTTCCAATAAAAAATGTGATCGTAATAGATTCTACTGCGCAGCAGCAGTAGCAGTGGCAGCAGCAGTGGGTGCTGCCGTAGCTGTCTGAGCCTGCTCCTCGCGAACACGATCCTTCTTCAACTGGCCCATGAACGAAGCCTTGTCCGCAGCAGTCTGGAAGCGACCGTGTCCAAACTTGGAGCTGGTATCGATAAACTTGAGGTTGATCTTTTCCAGTGCAGATCTCTTGGTATGCACCAGCAGCGACTGCAAGAACAAAGTCACATAGTACGATTGACTTGACTCCAATCGTGCTAATTAATGCTACGATGCCCATGACTTCTCAGTCCTATCATTTATTATCACATATGTGTCATACGAGAATAGTAGGCTCTATTAGATTTTCATCATCGAATCTGTTGACAATGATATAGTAATTACTAAGGTTGTAAAGAATATTTAGTGTTGCTTTCGATGTATGTAAAAATTTCGTGTCATTTGGACTTTTGCATTGGCAATACGACTTTCCTTCTTTTGCTCTTACTAAGTCTTTCATTTCTTTAACTGAATCAACTTTTCTTTCTAACGCGTCTATGCACAGAAAATATAATGAATCAGACCTGATGAAGCCGAGCTCAAGAAAATTGAGTAGCCTGTAATTTGCCTTAATTTCATTTGATCTTATTTTCTTGATAGTAGCCAATAAAAAAATCTATTCGACACAAGAATTTTCTTCTGAAAAGTGATTTCTTTTCTTCGTGCATTTTCATTACAACCCCAGTAATTGCAAAAGAGTAATTGTCGGTTACCTTTCGTAGCGTAATGACACGCTTCTTCGGTCCCATACAGCATCCCTTGATCATGACAAAGTCATTGTTCACTTCTCCATAATGTGGGAAACCACCCATGGGCGTGATGGTTTTCTCCGTAAGATCATACTCAGTCGAGGCATTGTTTTTGATGATCTGAAAACGGCAGAAATAAATCAGTAACGTATTTTAATCGATCCAAAGGATAAATATAACTCCCATAAGATTGTCTAGAAATAAATCGATACAAGTAGATGTAAAGATTCAATAGACACTTCCATTTCGATAATATGGAAATGTATAATTACTCGTGACTTCGATACTTATTTTGTGATAAGTGAAAATTACTCATTTTGAATCGGATGGAATGAACATAGAGGTATTTTTTTAAAAATCCATTTTTGCATACTATTTCTGGGAGACCGGTATGATTTATATGTATGTATACATTTAATTTGATATATAAATATAATATTACATATAAAAATATCAATACTTTTTTCAATGCATGTAATAAATAGGTCTCAATATACTTTAGTGGTATCGGTTCATCCCTAACAATGTGTTAGCGAGTTGCTCTTACGTAGCTTTGAAAAACAAGAGAGGAGTAGCCAGAAAATCACAAAAAATTATCTTAATAGTAGAAAATACTTAAGTTGTCACTTGAGTAGGAGATCCCAAATGTGAAATAATCACACCGGGTACTATGGTCAAGTCCGTTTAATCTGGCCTCGAGTCGATATTAAAAAGCCATCAATACATTTGTGTAGAATTGCTTTCTTGCGAGGCGTAACTTAATTCTTAACACGTTCGCTACCACGTACTGATTGGAAAACTGCCACCGCGTTACAAGTTTTTATTAAATAGATCAAAACCAATATAAATACATAACTAGGCCCTCGTAGAGAATCGAGGCGTTATACATATCAAGTGAAAATTAACCTGAAATATTCTCAGATTGACAGCGTATAGCGGATGGTTCGAAAAAATCCGAAAAAAGTTGCAGGCTCTACAAAAGGGAACGTACTTTCATTATGCCAAACATGGGTCTATGATAAGTTCTCTTAATTGAGAAATAAATATTTATCGAATTGATGTGCGGAATTTTGGCGTTAAGTATTCGGTGTCGTTCGCACATGCTTTTAAATGTATTTGGTGCGAAATTCTACCGAATTTTCTGATGACACTGGTAGCGAAAGTTTAAAAAAAAAAAAAAGTTGAATATTAAACCGTACCTTGCCATCCTTTGTATGAATACCCTGACCGATCCTGTAGATCTTCTTGTTCATTTCTGTACGATGATGATATCCCTTCTGACCAGCACGAGCCACAGTGAATGAGACTCGACTCGGATGCCATGCACCGATACAGGCAACCTTTCGCAGACCCTTGTGTGTCTTGCGAGGTAGTTTCTTCGTATGCCATCGAGAAGTGACACCTACAATACAAATTAACATTCCATTAGAAAATGGATACACCGCATAAAAAATTATGATCCTTCACTTAAATAAAGACGTCAGTAGGAAGGCAGCAGAGTGTCATCCTCATGGAAATAGGATAAATGATATCTGCTTTGTCATCATGTAATAACCATCAGAAATTAACAAGAAAAAGTTCATTCGCCTTCATTCTCAAACTACGGAAGTCAGTGTATATACACATCAAACATTATTCATGTAACTGTCAAGAATTAATCATAAAAATAAAGTTCATTCGCCTTAAACAATTCACAGATTACAAAAATCAGTATATGTGCCATTTGAATGAAAAACGACGTCGACGTGAAATATATTAAATAGAATTGGTTACATGAACGTAGAATAGGAGTCTGCGAATTAAACCATTCCCATGGTTCTTGTAAAGGCATAAAAGTGAAGGGAACGGTTGGATAGTACTTCTTTGTCTCTCTCTTACCGTTAAGCTACCTTTTCACTGCCTGCATTGCTGTAAAATTAAATCCAGGAAAATGCTTTGATTGGCTCATAATTCTTTGTCATCTATGATGGCTATCTGCCTATTTCCAATCAATCGAAAAGTTTTGCTTGAAGCAATTTGATAGTAATGCAGCAAATGAAAAGGTACCGTTAGTCTGTCGTCTTATTAGAGTTCTCTTATGCAAAATCAGAGTAAAAGGAGAGTATAACCTATTCTATCTTTCTTGATTTGGCTACCTTTGGTGAAATCGGAGAGCAAAGTTCATATAACCTAAACTTATCTTTAATTACAAAGTCAAGGATCGTTCCTATTAAACCTTCTCATTTATCTTAAAATAAACTTATCTCTAACAAAGTGATAACATTCCTTAATTCTTGCTTTACATACCCTTGTATCCTTTTCCCTTAGTAATGCCAATAACATCGATCATCTCATCTGAAGCGAATACGTTGCTAATGGGAACAGGCTTCTCAAGATGTTCCCGGGCCCATTGAACCTTCTGCTCGATGGTTCCACCATTGAGCTGGATCTCCATAATGTGAGCTTTCTTTTGACGCTGCCTAAGCAACTTCATCTGTGTAGCAAAACAATGATACAAAATATTAGTATCTTGATCTGTCTTGTAATTGAAAGTTATGTGAGATTGGCATCTAAGGGGTCAAACGTTTATGAAACTTTCCGCCAAACCACGTGTATCTAATTATTTGACATTCTATCACGTTAATATGGTAGCCTTAAGAAAGGTCATAACTAGATAAAATTTCATTTTGTATACAAAATTAATATCAAATTGTAAAGAATGAACTTTTATAATGCGTTTCCTTAGAGCCTTCGTATTTACAACATAAAATTTCAAACTATATCCAGTTTGGAGAAAAGTTTCATAAACGAGACATCTAAAAGACGCTTCACGTCTTAACACTTCAGAGTAAAGTATACGATATTACTCACTTGCGTGTGAGCAATGATGCGAACAACCTTGCAGTACTTGACGATCTTCTTGATGTCCTTTTCGATCGACTTGCGACCGAGCTCGTCCTGCCACTTCTTAGAAGCTTTGGTAAAGGCCTTCTTCTTGCTCTTATACCTGAAGAAAACCAGCGGGAAAGTCCGTCCGAACACAGCAAGGTGGACGAGACGGTATCCCTGTATTTAGTGCCAGCCTCATCATAATGAGCGGAGGCTGGACACCGATTCGAATTGACCACAAGATGAGCATTCGGCTCGTTGGACAATTTCGAAAAAGTGCCCTCATCGAGTGAGCGGAGAGCTAAGTTCGACGGTATTAATATCATGTGCACAAAACTACTCCAGAATTACAAATTATGTCTTGACCAGACTTAACGCCAGAACTTCCAATGGGTATATATTGCACTGAATGAAAAAGATTACTTTCTAGAAAAACAGAAATTCTTGTGTCAAATAGATCTTTACTAGCTGCTATCGCCAAAATAAGATCAAATGAAATTAAAGCAAATTACAAACAATACTCAATTTTCTCGAGTTCAGCTTCGCTAAATCTACCTAACTCATTATCATTACGTTTAAAGTGAAAAGTTAATTTTTCTTTAGTGTGAAAGTTTGCAGGAATTAATAATACATTTATAACAAATGAGAATTCAATAGAATTACCAGTAGGTCTGGTATTTTTTTCTCAAACTTTTAACAGTTACCAATGAAATTGTTCTTACATTAACCTTAAACAATATTTGTCATTCGTTATTTTTCATATCAAGTACTGAATCATTTGAATAACTAATTTTGCCTAGAAAGTAATTTTTTTGTTCAATATGCATCTGCGCACATATCTATACTTGTTCATCTTCCATTGTCATTGTTCTATTGTTATATCATTATACCATTTTAGTGTTCTCGGAATGTCATATAATTAATGAAATTGTTCCAGAAATTTCAGGCCTAATTACCAATTCTTGTAGAAGCGACGCCGACAGTCTTCGGAAAGATGTTCGGCCCAAACGGTTGTCAGAGCACGAAGTCCATGAGGAGTTTCGATGTATCCAACAATACCGACCACGATCATTGGTGGTGTTTCCAGGATCGTAACGGCTTCGACTATCTCCTTCTTGTTCACTTCTACTCAGCAGAGAAAAAAATGATTTAGCAATTATGTATAATGAGTTAATGGTGAAACTTAATTACATTTGAAAGGTAATCAAATGTAAATTAGGTTTTACTGGTTTAAAAGCTGTGCCAAGCATGGTTTGTCTCAATGGTCTGCACCCAATGGGCTACCAAGAGTTTATGGAATATGCCGTGCTGCCGTCGCTCCTACAAAGTAGGGGACAGCATTGATATTCGACATCGCAGTTTGGAATATACTGCACGGAAAAGCAGCTCCTAACTGCAACTTCCGCTCAACCAGAGTGTTCCCACAAAGGTCTCACGAAAGTATAGATGTCGGAACTTATCATAAATACAGGCAGTTTTCGCCTTTACAAATCAAAGAACTCGGTAAAGTCTCAAGTCAAATATATTTATTTTATGCAAGAATTAATTTGTTCCTAGCGACTGTTCATCAATAAAGAATGTTTAAAGCAGGAGTTACATATGTAAAATGGAGCGTATAAAATATGAAAATTTGAAAAGTAGAAACTACCTATATATCGATAATATTTAATTGCAAAATAATATTCTCTTGATGAAGAAAGTTGCTCCAACTAATGGGTACTTTTTCTAAGTTTGATACACTAAATACTATACAAACCATTAATTCAAATAAATATTTACTGAAAAAAAAAACGACATTTTTCTCTATAAAATAAAAGATACGAAGAGTATGTATTATCCTGCTGAAACATCTACATATATTTTTGCACATATTATAAAATGTATGCCATAAGAATATTCAATTCCAAGAAGATCTGTCTCAAATTTATGTTTAAGCTCAACTGTCACGTATCTTTGCTCGAAAATCCAACAAAATATATACCACTCACAATTGAAGCAACTTTAATTTAGTTATTCTATTTACTAAAAATGTATTGAAACGTTTACATAATTTCACAACAGATATTTTACTTCTATCAGTTCAGGTTTATGTAAATGTAACATTTTACTGAAATTCGTAATGAAATTTAATGAAAAGCTGGTAAACTCAACACGGAAATGAATTTGTATTCCTAAAAATGTTGCTATTTGATTTAGCCGTTCGGAGTAGCGATAATTACATATGAGGTTATGTGAAATGAATTTTACTGTGAAATTACTGTGTAATGTGAAATGCATTTTAAGCAAATTTTGCAACAAAACTTTCACAAATTGTGGGTGGTATTGGTCAGTTCTTATAAAAATGGATTGATCGTTACATGTATAATTAAGTTTTCAAGTAGAAACATTCTTAACACATTCCGTGCCGAAATAAATGATGAGTACGGTGTCGTAAACAAACCATGAGGCATATACACCCCATGTGGCATGGAATGTGTTAATCTTACCCTCATTCAAATAAAACTCTTCATAATTCATATTCAAATTAAACTTATCACAATTGATAGCCACACAAAGCAACTTTTTCACATTACAATTTAACTGGAATTTTACTAATTTTCACTTATTAAACCTTTGCAAAATCTTTTAAGAAAACTTCAAAATGCAGAAGCCACACGTAACTTCTTCAGGTTAGAATTTAACTTTACTAAATTTCTAATTATTAAACTTTTGTAAAATCTTTAAAGAAAACTAAAATGCAGAAGCCACATGTAAAGCAACTATCTCATGTTAGAATTTAATTTTACCAAATTTCTAGTTATTAAACCTTTGCATAATCTTTAAAGAAAACTTAAAAATACAGAAGCATTACTTACTTGAGCCAGGCCGATCGGCTTCTCGGACCACATGGGTCATACCAGCTTTGTAACCGACAAAGGCAGTAAGGTGAACCGGCTTACTCGGATCATCCTTAGGGAATGCCTTCACCTTTCCTCGGTGACGCTGGGATCTCTTTTTGGGGTAGAATCCCATAGAGCCATGCCTCGGCGCACTGAATTTCCTGTGAGACTATGAAAAGGGAATGCTTATTCCCATGCCATGCTGACATGCACATGTTAAATTACTCGATTAACTTTCTCAGACCGCCCTAGTTTAGTTTCCTCATAGGACATCAGTTAAAAACCATAAACATTTATAACTAAATCATCATTGCAACACTTTATCATGTATAAAAACATGTACATTCACGAGAAACGTGTCTTTGCACGTTGTTGAGGTTAGACTCGGAATCGAGTTTAAATTCTGCACATATCTATGTAGACAGTTCTAAACAAGAAATATTGCTCAATATTGATTGTTAAACCCGTCTTCTTTCTTGTTTTTGTGTATTACATGAAAAATGTAAGAGGATGTTTGAATTATCGAACGATTACGAGAACAAAACACACGCGCGCTTACCATGGTTGAACTGCTCACGAAGGTGAAATCAAAATGGAGGACGTAAGTTCCGGCAACCTCCTTTTATACCGTTGGGTGGTTTTCATGTAGATGAGTTTGAGAACTGCTCATCCGTATCTGAAATGGGATTAGTTGAAATGTATTGACGGATACTCACCGAACCAATAGCATAATAGAGTATTAAATTTAAGAGATCGTCCCTTATAGGTTTGTTCGCGTGTCTGCACTTTCTACACTCGAGTGTAACGAGTGTGTTACACTTTTTTTTAAAGGTGCAGAAGTGTAGATACACTTTCGTCGACAATTGGACATTTAATTAATTTTTTGTCTACAAATCTTTATTTCTTCTTATACAAATTTCATTTCTTCTTATATGTTCAAAGATAAATGAAAAATATGTCGAAGACAAAACAATTATTCCGAAATTTAACGTTTATACTTGTTTAAACCTGCTGTAAACCAGTTAATCGGAGATTAACTTCACTGTGGAACCAGACCTTAACCGGTGTTTAATTGATTGAACTGGGTATAAACCAGTTAAAGTTCGGTTAACTCGAGTTGTGGAACCGGGCCTTAATCAACTTGTCTATAGAAATTTTTATTTCTGTTCATTGTTTCCGGAGCTTCCTATAGACGGCAGTGAAATGAAGTAGTTACTTTTACATAAGAATTCCAACTCTTCCATACAACTTTCGAGCAAATTCTTGCTGATGTGAACGCTTAAACAGACTACGTCTCCATCGTACTCGAAATCCGGGATTTATCGAGTCCGGATCTAGTAAATCCGAATTTAAGTGTCGATAAAGACACTCGGGATCAAATTTACAAATTCTCTGATGTGAACATACAATTTACGGGATTCGGATTCGATAAACCCGGATTTAGTAGTGCGATGAAGACGAGGTCATAGGTTTCATTGATGGTGTAAACGTGTTCTAACAAGGAATGAAGGAATCACCATCCTTGCAAAAAGGGGGAAAAGGAACAGAAAGAAGCGCGAAGCTTCGCTGACGAAAGAAGTTTTCGGTATTTTATGGAGTTTCTCCAGATTTTCCTAAGTTTACGATGGATCGACAGGTTAAGTGAATGCAGGTGAGTTACAGATCGTTGTCGCAAATCAATAACGAAGAAAACTGTTGGAATAATAACGTTAATTTCGAGGTGCGCGTCTCTTGACATAACCTTAAATAGCCTTGAAAATATGCGCTTATTTTGCGACGCAGGAGCGCCACATGTAATTGATTTGTTTCTATCATGTGGTTGTCGTCAGGTTTCAAGTTGTGGCATAATTGTCAATTTATGTACTGATTATGATTGCATGCATTCTTGCAGGAACCCTGCGTAATATAATTTTATTATAGATGGCAACGACTGACCCTTTGACGCCAGTGCCCTGTGCAGAGATCGAAGACGAGATCGAAGGTCTTAACGAGAAGCTATTGGAGCAGCTCTCATTTCTGAAGGTATCCACACCAAAGAACGATGGAAAAACGAGCGATCTGTCAAATCCTTTGGTGGACCTTCAAAGGTCGATATCGTCGGAGGTGTTTGGTCACTACAGATATGATTGCTCGTTCTATACCCAAAGGAACACCATTAATGCAAGTACACCTGCAAGTTATTTGCCCCCTATTGGAGTATTTTGGGACATAGAAAATTGCCAGGTTGGTTTATAGTTTTTAATCCTCGTTCCTTCCCCAACTTTTACATCGCTTTCTACAATTGGGTTCAAATGGATCCATAGTAATAAAAGTATAAAGATAATAGTACAACCATAAGTTTGTATATATAATTATTAGTTATGTAACTAAAAGCACGGCAGAAATATAAAAAAAGAAAATCTGATCGGGTTGAAATGAACTTGTAGAAGGTATGAAAGCTAAATTTCATTTGTTGGTGCGGCTGAAATATCAAGTAACTTGTCTATGATTAACAAAACAGATGTTTATAAGAGGCAGCTGTGAGTAATAGTTTTTAACATTTCCGCCTTCCGCAATTTTCACATTGTTTATTATTATTGGGTTCAAATGGTAATAAAATATGAAGATAACACTTCCACCGTAAATTTATTTATGTTATTTACGCAACTGAAAACATCACACAGAAGTATGAAAAAGAAAAAACGGCATAAAAGTCAAATTTCATTTGCAGCTATGGCTAAGATATGTAAAATAACTTGTATATAATTTATTTATAATTAGTAAAACAAATTTGTATGAGGTGGTTTTGGAGCCTGATTCACTTTCTTAATTTATTAATTGAATAAACTTTATTTTCCTACATGTTTAGGTCCCAAAAGGTAAATCCGCCATGGTAGTTGTACAGGCAATTAGGGATAAGTTCTTCACTGGATATAGAGAGGCGGAATTCATTGTTGTATGTGATGTACAGAAGGAAGTTAAACAAGTCGTCCAAGATTTGAATGACGCTCAGGTATTTTTATCAGTGTTTTGCATTCAAAAATCATTTCGTTGTTCTTACTCCATTTATATCCAGGGTTCTGAACCAAAACGTAATAACGGTCCCAATACGGTTTTGGTTCAACCTTAATTCTCTTTAACGATTCTGGTTTTGGTTCAGTAAGGAAAATAAAGGTCCAGGTTTTTTTTTATTCCTGTCGGTTGCCTTCGATTTTTTTTTGTTATAAATATTCACTTGTTTTAATTTGATATGCACATGTGTGTGACGGTTTTGAATCATACTATGAACGGAACTATTACTTTGTGTGGAAATATAGTATATTGGCTCGCATGACAAATAAGGAGACATTAGGTATTTTTCCGTTTATAGTATTGTTTTAATTTTAAATTATGTGCATATGTTGCTCTTATAAAAATCAGGCAGTAAGATTTAAAAAACAGTTTATTTCATTTTCAAAATGGAACCGAAAAGAATAAAAAACGACCGAATATAGCAACTTGGTTCCGCTGTAACGAATTATTGACAAATATCAGTTCAGGTTGAATTACAAATAACTCGACTTCCGGTGTAGCTATTCCAAAAAGTAGAATAAGGAGCTCCTACTCTGTGGGTTTTTCCGGAAAATTCTGACCCTGTGTTTCCTTGCCAAGTTAGCCGATAGCGACACTAGCGATCCTTGCGGGGAAATCGTAACTTGATTATGCAACATGGTAGTGTGTAGAATATGAGTCAAATGTGATAATACGTGTGGTGCAAATGTAAACAGGGCTTGTGTCACCGGTTTTGTCGCTTTTATTTATTAATATTTGTAAGGTATTAAATAATACGTGTCTCGGTGATTAATAAATGTTCCGTGATTATCATGTACTTGTTTGTTAAACTACTCTGTGACTAGGAGTTTTAAATTACAATAGCATTCTCAGATACATTTCTGAGCTTAAATTCTCAATAATTTAAAAACTAACTATGACGACCATTTGTGGGAATTTAAAAGTGTTGGATTTTTCCACAAGAGTCTCTAGTGTTATTATAGGTTAACTTGGCAATGAAATATAGGGTTACTTTTATATGAAAGTGAGAGCTCTTTATGTTACTTTATGATCGAATGTATGCCTTATTCCGTACGTATTGAATTTTCAGGTAAATTTAATACACGTTGCCTCGACGTGTAAAAATGCTGCCGATGAGAAACTGAAGCAGTCGATTCGGCGGTTCGCCGATATCCATGGCAACTCGGCTGCCATAATACTCATATCGGGAGATGTCAATTTCGCCGCCGATCTGAGCGACCTGCGACATAGGAAAAAGATACATGTGATACTCCTACACAAGGAGAACACCTCCACGGCCCTTATATTATGCGCTAACGAACATTACAATTTTACCGAACTAGTGGAACCACTGTCGGCGAGGCCAACAACGAAGGTAAATACTAAGCAATTCCAGGAAGTCTTTTGCATACCTACAAGAATGAGTAAACTATTACGAAAAGTATAGAATTTGGTATGTCGAGGATCAAGGAATGCACCTTTAACTGCAAATGCTATTGCCACTGCGATCATTTTACCATACGTCAGACCAGCTTTAGCACCCTTTGATGAGGAATTCAAAGCTTCGATCCTGAGCATGTGATTCATTTCTACATTTGCACCGTGCAATAAACTCATGAAAACAGATTATTCACCAGTTCTTTCAATCTTTACACTTCTGCGTTACGTTTGTGTGTTGTATCCAGATCTTGCGATGCCTCCTGTGAGACATGTCGAATCTATTTGTCCAAGTTTGTTATCAATTCTGGCCTCGTCTTGACTTGTTGGTATTGGCTTTCCCTGGGCTCGATTCTGACACTTTGCATGCCGTAGAGAAAAGAATGGATAATTCAAGGCGCACCGTTGTGTTGTGAAGTGTTGCACAGTAGATGGTAGAGAAAGACTTACCCGAAACCTATTCGTTGTGCGTGTTGTCGTGTATTAACCACGTACTTTTCAGGTGTCCGAGACTTATGACCTCCTAGTTTATAACCTCCCCAGGGATAAAGACGTCATAGCTATTAAACGCCGTCTGAAACATCTATCCTCCAACTGCGGTGGGCGAGTTATGGGCGTTGAATCGAACGTCGGTACTGTACGCTTCCTTACTCAAGACTCCGCTGTCAGGTACTTACTGAATATTACTTAACCTCACTTTTTATGACTCGGTCACACTTGCATGAAGTAGTATAAGGGACTCCCACTCTACACGAGCCATAGGCTTATATTCGTTTCGCACTTTCAGTGTTAAAAAACATGTTTTATCCTTTCAAAGACGACATGTAAAAGACGTCTTTTAGGGGGATATGAGAGTGGTATCCAAGGGGTCAATCGTTCCTGAAGTTTTTCTCCAAACTGGGTGTACCAAATCATTTGAAACTTTACTTATTGAATATAAAGGCTATAAGGAAGGTCCTGACACCCATGCAATTATCACTTTTTTTTAATTTTTGGCAGACTTTTTAAAATTTTTTATTAGAAATGAAATTTCATGCGTGTTGAGACCTTCCTTATAGCTTCTATATTTACGTTGTAAAATTTCAAACAATTCGGCACATCCATTTTGGAGAAAAGTTTCATAAATCTTCTTATCTTTGACACCATGTTCATGTCACCTTAACTCTAAAAGTGAAGTATTAGAACAGAATATCATGATTATCATGTAAGTATTTTTTATACATTATGACGACCATTTATGAACATTTATAAGCGGTGGGTTTTTCTCCAAGATTCGCTAGTGATACTATTGTCTGACTTGACAGCGAAATGTAGAGTTACTTTATATGGAAATGAGAGTTTATGCTACTTAACACTACTTGGAACGACGTTTTGGGTCATCCGACTTCATTTGTTGGTACACAGCACAGCACCGTGTGATTGTCTTTGCTAATCTCTGGCATAATTCACTATTTCTCAGCTCTTTGGGGACAACTAATCCAAATTAGATGGCATAGATAATTAGTTATCTAAATTTAACAAATCCTGCACATCAGATTTTATTTTAGATAAGCTTTTGGGAACTTTTGTGTGATACGACAGTGAGAACGAAGGCTTTATTTTAGATTCAGTTAATAGAAAGTTGCTGTATAATTATATTAAAGCTAGGTATGATGATTATGTTAAAAGTATATCAGAGTATTCGTTTTAGTGTTTCCACTTAAACATATTTTTTGTAATTGTATGGATCTTTTAGAATACTTTTTTGGAGTTTTCAGGTCCAATGAAGTGCTAATTGAATTATTAAAACACCAAGATCACTGATTAAAGGAATATTTCCCAGTAGGAAGATTATTACAAAGAGTACGATGTTATGTAATAGTTGTTATATAATTTAAAGCCGCCCATTTATATATCTTGATAATAGAATACAGCTTGTTTTTATATTATGGAATTAACATTTATTAAGAATATTGGAAAAGTTACTGTTAGACCTTAAAAAATTAGGAATAACATTAATATTGCAAAATAATTATTATTTCAATTGAATTTTAGGCTTTTAACTGAATTTCTATTTAATTTCTTTGATCTGATTCAACACTGAGTTCTTATTTAATTTTTAGGATTAACAGTAGGAATTGAATTTTAAATTAATAGGTAAAGTAAAGCAGGATTAAATTCTCTTACGGTGAAAGCACTGGTTTGTGATTTTGAATCGCACATTCCGAAAAGGCTTATATCAATTAATCGATGTAAGCATTGTCTATAATTCGTATGTAGATCGAGCAGAGGTAGGGTGGAGAGGAAGGATTATAAATGGATTTAAATTACAATAAACCGTGATAGTCGATCGTAACTCCAACAACTTCCTTCCTCGAAGTTCCTTTGTAGACTCGTAGAGTCATTCTATTGCCACATTGAGTAATTGGAGCCCTGAAACTGCAGGTAAGATTACGGTTAGATAAAAAGTGAAGCATTTAATCGTTCTTCAAAAGTGTTGACAGTTTATGTGGGCCGAGATAACATATTGTAATATAAGCGTAGAGTTATGTAGACTGAAGTGGGAGAACTGTTTTTGCCTTGACGATTTCGTCCCAAAGTAAGAGGGAAAAAAGAGTTTACCTTCGACATGTGCCAACTGTCAATTCAGAATTGCTCTCAAATATGACGTGTGGCTGCCAATATAGGATGTACGTCCCAATTAGGTTGGGTTGGCATTTATATCAAACATGTTTTTTTTTTTTTCTTTTCCTTCCAACAGAGCACAGAAACGTATGGACGGGGAGTTTGTGCTGGGCTCGCAGATCACAGTCAAGTTTCAAGAAGGGAAGGTCGACAACAACGGGGAAACTTTAGGCAAGGAAGGTGAGTAATGCTACGATAAGTCGAGCACATTCCTATGGCACTTATTCCACTAAGATTATTCTCTCTGGAGAGTGTCTCAATTCTCGCGAGAATTATCTTTAAATACTCTGTTGAAAGTGAATCGTTCCCAAACGGATTTTATGTGCGTGTATGTGTGTTTGTTGACAGTTTTCAAAACGACCTCAAAGTTACGAGCACAGCGTTGTATGAAAAATTGATTCGTATGGTCATTGTTTTAATAAATGCATGTTTTAATAAATTCACAGTATGTAATCATACTGTGAATTTTCTTGGTTATATTTATTATCTGTACGTGAATTCAGTCGATGGTGGACTTTTGTTTCAATTCATAAGGAATTTTGCAGCTCTAGGCTCTCTCTTAGTATTGTTTAAATAAGGTAGGATGTTTAAGAGGCTCTTTCTGTAATACTTAACCTCTGTATTCGTTAATGTTTATATATTTGTAATGTTCATGGGAATTTAATGATTCCTCGTTAGTTCGTTTAGATTTTTGGCGGGAAACTCGTCGGAGAGTCGCCATTTACTGAGGTTATTCCTTTATGCGTGTTTTATATTATCCTTTGTTATTTTATGTCCTTTATAATTGTTTTTCGAGGTCGTTTAATGCATCCTGATATGTGAGAAATTGTACTTTTGTTTCCTTCTTTTCAATTATACCTGAAATTGTATCGGAGGTGTTACATTTCTGTTAGAGCTTGCCGCGAAAGGTTACAAATTCTGATTGACAAGTTATGAAAAACATATGCCAGTTAAGGTAACCAATATTCACCTCGTTATGCGAAGCGAATAGCTGTCATTTTCTCAACGTTTCTACTAGCTGTCATTTTCTAGTTGAATGTATTCAGAGGAAAAGGATTCGCATCATAGTCAAGAAAATATCACATTCGGAGAGGTAAACACAACGCAATGATTCGTTTAACGATTTGAAAGATAGTCAGGTAGTCTGTCGAACCATTATAATTATTCCTGAATCTGTTCGGTCGAGATGAAAATGAAACTTGAACTTAAATTATTTACAGTTGACGTAGAGATGGATCAACTTCTTACCGTAATTCTCTTTGAATTTGTTCTGTTCAAATTAAAATAAGAAAACTGTTAGTTAATTCTATATCATAAATTTAATGCTGAATTAATCTTTTAAAGCAAAGGTATTAGTTGTGGAGAAAATAGGGGAGAAAGAATGAAAAATAATGGAAATTTTGTCTCTTTAAAGAAACTGATCTTTTGGATTTGGCGACAGATTTAAGTGTTACGTTGTCCACAGAGATTGGATCCTGTGAATACTCAACAAGTGAATCCGAAGTAGGCTCCAACACCAAACAAATGTATTCTGCAAGTGCCTCCGTCAGAGGCGCAAGAAGTCTTCCTGCCACCCCGCACTACTATTCGTCATCACCTGTCATCGGTGCCTACCCAGGATGGAACGGCTTACACTGCCCTGTCACAGCCGGAGCACCACCCGGGTGAGTTGGTCACATAATTTCCTACACAAAATAACAATGTACAATTTCGTTTAAAACTCTACGTGCACTGTGTGATTTTATTAATTTTTATATAAATTTTTATTTAAATAAATAGCTTGTGGTTTTCATCCAATATGTTGTTACAAATTACTTAATTATTACAAAAGTAGTCACGTGAGTAACTGCGGCTTCCTAACTAATTTATTACGCAGAGCTTGTACACATTGGTGCATTCGTAACTAATTATATCGGAACACATTGAAACCTTTTATGATGACCATCCGAGATTGAGCCCTTGAGTCACCTCAAGCTGATTCGGGCTGTGAACATTCGAAAGAAGCTTTGATCTTATCTGATATGTTATCACCATTCTAATCGATAGAATGTATCATAGAGCTGAGATTATTAATTTACATTATTAATGTTTTAGAATTATTCAACCACCTGCTGCCTACATGGGAAGAGCCTTCCCTAGCAATGGAGATGCTGGCTTCAACAGATCATACAGTGATCTTCCGAGGGTGTACTCATCATCGGTGTGGCAGATGAGCAGCGGTCAACAATGTGCTCGTCTCTGGGACGAACAGTACAAGGTACTTGCTTTTTCCTTTCATTTTAGTCTAAACTCTTCCTGCTTCCATTCTATTAACACTGAATTACTTTATTAACATTTGGTGTACGAGCATTTTGTATACATATCTCCATGGGAACCCATCAAATCGACAGGTGAATGAAAACTCATTTAAAAAAAAAAGTCGATTTATTTAATTTAAAAACAACTTACTTCTATACTATTAACTTATACATTTAATTGTGATATATAGTTACATAATATTGATAATATTAACATATTACCAGATGAAAAAAAATAGTGATTATTTCTGTAATTTTGTTGGAAAGCATAACGTTAAATCATTAACAGCATAATTTTCTGGATAACATAATATTATTAAATTAGCGATGTTAGAATTGCACTGTAATATTTCTTCAGTTTCTTCAACGTCTAGTAATATTGAGAAAATGTTTAGTTATAAATGCGTAGAACATGTCACTTGAGATTGGTAAAGTACACGGAGTAACTTATTAATAACATATATTTTAAGATAACATTAAGGTGATATGAAAGTGGCATCTGCGGAGACAGCCGTTCATGAAACTTTTCTCCGAACTGAGTGCACCGAATCATTTCAAGTTTTACCACGTGACCATGAAGGCCTTAAGGGAGGTTCCGCCATTCATAAAATTTCATTTGTAATACAAAAATTGAGGAAAAAATGAAATGATTCGAAACACCCAGGTTGGAAAGAGTCTCATAAACGATTTTCTATCCACAAGTCTCTTTCTTATCACCTTAATAACTTATTTCTTAGGCTGGGAAAACGAAGCTCCTCGGGAAGCGCATCCAGGTTCCGCAGGCTCGGGACAACGATGCCGCTACAGGAATTCGTTCCCGCACACCAGACGGTTTCCGACGAATTCGAGAAAGCCCGTCGACATTCCCTCATCTACCACCCCTCGACTGGAACACGCCGAGACCTGCGCCATTTAGTAACTCGTCCCTTCCGACAGGTTATACTCCTGGAAATGGTACTTTGATCGCAGAAGCTCTTCGATGTCACTCGTTTTATGAGAGCAGATGTCAACTTAATCCTTAATTATTTATGTTTTATTTGTAATTTTGATTCTTCAACTAGCAATGTGTTTCCTCTGTACTTTGTACTGTCAAGAGTTTGTTAAGGTGACATGAATGTGGCATCGGAGGGGTTGTTCGTTTATGAAACTTTTCTTCGAACTGAGGGTATCAAATCGTTTGAAGTTTTACCACGTGAACGTGGAGGCTCTGATGAAAGTTCTAACACGTGAAATTTCAATTTTTATAAAAATATAAAGAAGGATTATGAACAAATTTAAATACAAATGTCATAACAATTTAAAAAAAGTCTATGAACAAGTTAATATATTAAAAAAAAAAAAAAGAGATTTCTTGGATGTCAGGACCTTCCTTAAGGCCTCCATGTCCATGAGGTAAAATTTGAAAGAGTGCAAGAGAAGCGAAAATTTAGTTGCAGCTAAACCTCACAGATGGCGACGTTGGTTTGTCAAAATATAGTTATGAATTTATGGGATTTCGACAGTTGTATATGGATCTTTTTATCATTACTTTACCGAAATGACGTATAAAACCCCTCAGTTTGTATAATTATCAACGTAGACTGTAAAAGACTTCAACATAAATATAAATGTCGGTAATGGGACGCGCCAGGTTATGTTGCCACCTGAGTATTTAAAACGGCATTGCCACCAAAAAGGGTGTAGAGAAATTTTACTTTATCGTCGTCGATTAAATTTCTTAACGCCTTTTATATCCTCTTAAGTCACCAAGATAGTGAAGAATTATATTATTTGCAGGTTATACACCTGGACCAACTTCGTTCAAACGTCGCAGTTCTTCGCCGATGTACGAGCTCGGCCATTGGAATGGTCAGGTAATTGTAGTAAATCGATTGTTCCATCCTTTTGTTTTTTGTGATAACATTTCTTCTTCGTTAATGTTGGTTCCGTATTTAAGGGGATATGAAAGTGGCATCTGAGGGATCAATGAAACTTTCCTCCGGACTGGGTGCACCGAATCGGTTCGAAATTTACAACGTGAATATAGAGGCTTTAAGGAAGGTCCTGACACCCATGAAATTCCAATGTTTTGTAATAAATTTAAAACAATCTAAAAATGTTTTGAAAACTTTAAATTTCATGGGTGTGAGGACCTTCCTTATAGCCTCTATATTCAAGCGGTAAAGTGTGAAATAATTCGGTACGTCTAGTTCGGAGAACAGTTAAATAAACGAGACCTCTTTGACGTCACTTTTACATCGCCTTAAGATTAAGTATCGAGTCTTCGATACCTTATGTACCTTCTTTCGCAGCATTCGCCTTTGATTGTAGACATAATTTATTCCTAGCTAGAGGCTCAAGAATATATTTTCTGTAGAGTGAACGAGTGATAAATACTTAGAAGTAATTACAATTCTGTAATAATGTTGCAGCCAAGTAATCAGCAATCAGGTCGACCTCGTTGCAGCCGTACACCATCACCATTCGATCAGAGTAACGTTTCAAGAACGACGGCTCAGCAAACCGACAGGATCTCACCGTATCAGCACAGTGACGCCGAAAACGAGGAAGTCGAGGTTCGTTCTCGCCTCTCGATTTGGCTCTTAATTCCTAACTTCTTGTTTCCCTTAAGGTGATGTGAAAGAGTTCTGAAAGTTTCGACAGTTTTACATCGATTTCTTCATCGTTATTTTATTGAGACGATGTATGGAACGCTTCATTTCGTATAATTCTCAAAGTAGACCGTAAATGAGTTAACATAAATATAGATGTCGGTAACGTGACGCGCCAGTTTGTTACCACTTGAGTATCCAAAATGACGTCACCACCAAAAAGGGTATAGATGAATTTTATTTTCCCGACGTTGAATAAATTTCTCAGCGCCTTTCATATCATCTTTATAAGTTGTGGGATAATAAGGTGGGATTCCTAATACGCTCATCTCTGCAGAATTTCTTCAACCCGATAAACAATCGCAACAGTAGTACCATATCCAATGGTACGTACACCCCGATCGAGCTGCAGGTGACCAACTTGGACCAGAGTATCGAGCCGAAGGAGATGAAGCAGATCCTCTCCTCGGTTTTCACCGAACACGTGGCGGTATGAATCTCTCTAATTAATAGTATATGCGGCATGAATCTCTCTAATTAATAATAATAAAAAAAAAAGGAGAATCGAGTCCGGAAAGTTCGTGCTAATCTTTAAGTCCTAAAGCCATTTGCATACGTACCAGTTAAACCGGAGCCGGCATCGGCTTTTCTGCCAAGAACGATGTGATTTTCATTTATTTACATTATTACCATCGAAATGAAATCGGCGTCGGCACCGGTTTTGCCGGTCGTGTGCAAACGCGGTAATGCCATCTATCGAAAATCAGCAGGAACTTTTCGGACAACCCAATATTTAAAAAGTCTGCACTTTTTGCAAGACCAAGACCAAGACCAAGACTCAACCGAGCAAGACTGCGACTACGGTAGTCTTGATCTGGTCTTGCATTTGCTCATCCCTAACTATTCCTTCGTCGGTCTCCGCAGATCCTGAGCATCTCCCTGTTCATGCAATCGGATGGCAGCTACGCCGCCAGCGTGAAGGTTCCTTCGCTCTCGGACGCACAATATGCGATCTCACAACTGCACAGGCGCAAAGTCGGCTACAAGAGGATCCTGATATCATATGCACACGCCGGGGGTCCGAATCCCCAGCTGGTTCGCTCGCAGATCGTCATGCTCCTGCAAGACGTGCCCGAGCACCGACTGCCCCTCTTCAAGTTCCGGCAGATGTACGAGAGCAGGTTCATGTCCTCAATCAGCGTCTCCGAGATGCACAAGATGAGGGACGTCTGCACCATCACCGAGGAGGCCGACGGCAGAATGGTCACCCTGAACCCCGACCACAGGAACACCCCCTCCCCCTGCGCGAGCATCGTCACCCAGGTTGGCGCCGAGGCAGATTTATTAACAGACGAAACATTTTTTCATTACGTCATTATGCGAAACTCTTGCGTCACTATCAACCTCTTCTGCATGATTAAATTTGATAGTGCTGTGAAGTTGCAGCTATGTAGGTATGAGATTGTAGCCTTTGGCTTAGTTCACACTGTGCAAAGAATTCAGAAGTCCCCGTAGAGGTCAGTTTGAATTCTGTGATGATACCAAAGAACTCAGAGGTTTCATAGACGGCCAGAATCTACGTTAGCATTTAATTCTCTGAGTTGGCTAACAAACCGGAAGTAGGACTGAAAGACCTTTTTGCACGTGCTCTGCACTCTCAACCAGTTGCCATTCTCGATAGGAAAGGTGGTAGGGGATTATTCTGATAAAAAATCATTTTATAAAACTCCTTTCAGAATGGACTCGTCGAGTTGCCTTACTGCACGATACACGCTAGGAAACCTTGGTCAGGAAAAGGCTGGGCCGAGCAGGAAGTCGCTACGTTACCTAATATCAAGGTCCCCTTGAAGGTCTTTTCCACTCGTCTGCATCGACTTTTGACCTCGCATGAAGGATCTTTACCTCTACGAAGGTAAGCGTATACTTAGGGGAATGTTATTACTACTGTAACGCTTCGTAAAACATATGTATTATTGGGAATTCTTTGTTAACAAACAATGTGATATAACAATTTCTCTGTTTAACTTCACGTAAACCACAACTATTAAGGGACAGATGAGAATATATATATATATATGTTCAATCCATTTAATNGGAGTAAATTACTTGTCACGGGAAGTCCTGGTCACAGGTTCTTTTTTTTTTTAATTTATTTATATTTCTGGAATTATTCTAATACAAGAAGATAATACAATGTGATATAACAATTTCTCTGTTTAACTTCACGTAAACCACAACTATTAAGGGACAGATGAGAATATATATATATATATGTTCAATCCATTTAATCAATACAAGATTTTTAAAAGCTTATGTATAATTTATATTGCATTTTTATTGCAGTTTTCCAAGCTGTTACGAGGCAGAGTTCAATGAGAAACTGAACGTCGATGAGACCGGTGTCCCCTTGGAGCACTTGGTCCTCTGCGTACCATCCGTTGAACTGAAACAAGGAGCTGGTAGCGTAAAACGCGTCGTCTGGGCTAGCAAAGGGGCACACAACACGGAATGCGAAGGTAAACGCTGTTAATAACCCATTCTTTACTAATTTTACCCTTGTACGTTGGTACGTTGGTAAAGGTACGCTGTACCTTTTCCTTGGATCTCGATTCTCTCATATCTTTTTTGTTTATTGTTTATTATAATACTGTTCTTCTACAGAGGCTAAACGAGTCAGTCCACCCCTGGCGAACCAGCTGGCTCTCTTCAGCAGAGAATTGGTCGATCTTTTGAAAACCGCACCCCATTGTCAGATTCTGTTCAACCGATTCATTCCTGCTTATCATCATCACTTCGGAAGACAGTGCAGGGTCGCTGATTATGGCTTCACGAAGCTGATCGACCTCTTGGAAGCTTTAGCACACACGGTACAGGTCCGTGAATTAACACCTCGTTCGCGTTGTAATTAATCCGTAAGACGGAGGACATTCTCATTGTTTCATTTTTCTCAGGTAATGGGAGAGGGAAACAGCCGAGTCGTAACCCTTTCGCATCGCGCACAAATTCGACGCTTCACCTCGGATTTATTAAGAGTCCTCAAAGCTCAAGCCAGCAAGCAGGTCTCGCTCGCTGAATTTCCAAGCGTCTACGCCAAAGTCATTGGTAAGATTTCCTTTTCATTTCTTTATTAGATACACCGATCGTTAAGGGCGCTTTACCTTTGACGGTGTTAAGGTGAAGTGAAACACGTCGAGGAACTTGATCGACGTCGATAAAGATCTTTCTAAATACCTACATCGTCGACGTTCGTTTTTATATAGACAGCTGTGTCGAATTATATTGGAACTTTAGCACGTGATTACGAAACTCCTAATGAAGGTCTTGAAACTCATAAAATTTCATTTTTCCAGAAAAAAATGTTTTATTTAGTTCTTGCCCGGGATAAATATATATATATTTTTTTTTCCAGGAAATGAAATTTCCCCAGTTTCGTACTCTTTATTAGGAGCAATCACGCGTTAAAGTTTTACATTATGCTGAGCATCTTGTTTGGAGAAACGTTTTATAAATATTTTATATATGTATAATATATAATTTACTGTTTCGATCAGGTAAGCCCTGGGACATCGCAGATTACGGGGTCTGCGAGATGGACGACATCCTCGGCGAGGTCTCCGAAGGGACCATCGTCGTCAAAAGCGTTAACGAGACCAACGACAAGATAATCGCCATCCCGAAGAGGAAGCAGACTCCGGAGGAAATCGAACGCACGAAGAAATTCGCTACCGAGGTAGATTGCAAGCTATTTGTGTAACGAGAAGTAACGCCCTTTAGATACACAGAATGGCAAATTTACTTTCTAGGTGAAATTAATTGCTTGAGAAAATCTATATGCTTCTTACCAAAGACATTTCTTGGCTCCAGTAAAATTGATTTTGTATGTGAACTTGCGAAATTTCATTTTTCGACAAAAAAAAATGTATTTATTCCGGACGAGAACCAAGAAAAAATATTGTTTTTATTTAAATTTTATTTAAAAAGTGAAATGTTGTGGGTTTCAAGACCTTCATTAGGATCTCCATAACCTCGTGTTAAAATTTCAAATTATTCGGTGCACGTAGTTCGAAGACAAATTTTGTAAATACTTTAATGTTTTGATATATGTATAATGACTTTTTCATATCACCTTAAGGGGATGTTCATGTGGTGTTAAAGAGGTCTCGTTTATGAAACTTTTCACGAAACCGGGTGTACCGAATCGTTTCAAACTTTACAACGCGAATGTAGAGGCTATAAGGATGACCCTGACACTCGTGAAATTTTATTTGTTATAAAAAAAGTGAACAAATTTATAGAAATTGAAATTTTATGAGTGCCAGGACCTTCCTTAAGGACTCCATATTCACGTTATAAAATGTGGTATTCCCAGTTCGGAGAAAAGTTTCATAAACAAGACCTGTTGGCCGTCACTTTGTCATCGCCTTAATACTAATTTCATCTTTACTCCAGGTCGTCGAATTGCTGAGACACGCGCCTAGGTGCAAGATGCTCTTCAACAAGTTCGTCCCCTCTTATCACCACCACTTCAGCCATCAGTGTCGCGTCTCAGATTATGGTTTCACCAAGCTGATCGAGCTCTTCGAGGCCATCCCGGATGTCGTCAAGATCGAGGATACCAATGGCGGGGAAAGACGAATAGCTCTGACGGAAAAGGAAGCTCTTCAGGTTATCGCCGAGCAGATTGCCATGCTGAGCGCCAGGTCGAAGGGGGGCCTGGACATCGCCAACGTCGGCCAGGCTTTTCTTTGTCAATTCGGTTATGCTTTACGTCCCGAAGTCTACGGATGTAGCTCCATGCTCAAACTCCTGGAGAAACTCGACGGCATCGAGGCTGGTTTCGAGGTAAAGCGAGAAACATTCGGTAACATTGTTGCAAACTTGTTAGCATTCCAATTATATAATGTTAACATAACATGTAACATATTGCCAATATGTTATGTATACATTGCATTATTCGATTTATAACAGTGTTATATAGCTGCAGAGGAAATAGCAATACAAATTTTACTTTTATATTATATGTATGTTACATTATGTGTTACAAACGTTATGTAACAGTTATATTATTGTTACATAATCGTGTTTGGTGTCCTGAGGCTCATCCACAAGTCTTTGAAGAACTGTTTATTCACTTGGAATTGTTTTTAATTCTTCCAGGAGTAAATTACTTGTCACGGGAAGTCCTGGTCACAGGTTCTTTTTTTTTTTAATTTATTTATATTTCTGGAATTATTCTAATACAAGAAGATAATAGTTGATCACAGGAAGTGCAAAAAGCTCTTTCCCGGTGTGAACTATTTCCCTTTGACGATTCTATTTTATTTATTCACCTACGATTTTTCTAATGCGAAGAGAAAATAATCTATCGCAGGAAATACAATACAGAATCTTTTAAATAAGCAGACATTACTTTACGTATATTTAATAAACGTGGATTATTATTTAAATGTGTTGCTTTAAATGAAAGTGAATGGCAGTGTCTGGAAAGCCCGATTTTTTAAATTTCAAGTAACGGCTAATTAATGAAGCATATCGAATAAATTTCCGTTTACTGTTCATTAATTTTCCTTTTGTCGTTTCAGGTCATCGAGACACCAGCAGGCACCAGGGTGGTAGCTGTTAGCGATAACAAAAAGCCGACCACACAGGAATTAACTCTGAGGTGTCGGCGCGTATTGATGGACCACCCTTGGTATCGATTGCCGGTGGCGGAATTTCAACACCTCTATTCCCGATACTACCGAGGACCTTGCAACTTCGAAGAGCTGGAAAATAGCTCCAAGGAAGTTGTACAGGTTTGTCGACATAACTCTTGCTCCGACACCCAAGGTTTAGATTGCACTGACCATTTAGTACACATACTAGACACCAGGGGCCCTTACTCATGTCTCACTTTTAACATTAAAAGATGTATTTTAGAATACTGTCAAAAGTGATACTACTTACTACGTTGCTTTTAAATCACTTTTATAGAAAATCCTTAAAATACGCATTTTAGCAGTAATACCCTCATTTAAGGTGATGTGAAAGAGTCAGTCTGTATATATCTGAGAAGTCAAATCGTTGGGGGAAGTATTCTCCGAATTGGATGTACCGATTCGTTTCAAATTTCACCACGCGAATATGGAGGCGCTAAAGTAGGTCCTGATACTCATTGACATTTTAATTTTCATCCAAAATTTATTCACTTATCATGGACTACACCAACATGGCGTGGTCTGTGTACGTTTTCGATGTTTTACGCTTCTTGGAGGCTTAGAATAGAAAATGAAGAGTTTCAGGACCTAGCTCGAACAATTTAGAATATCGCAGAAATGGAATATTACAGAGTCAGATGGAAAAATGTGGTAAATACTTTCACCAACGATTGCAAGAGCTTGTCCTGCGGCTAACATGTGTTTTTGGAGGAAAAATTTAGTTGCAGCTAAACGTCACAGATGGCGACATCGGTTCGTCCAAATATAAACAGTCATGAATTCATGGGATTTTGGCAGTTTTACATCGATCTTTTTATCATTACTTTATCGAAATCACACATCGAACGCTTCAGTGCGTATAGTTCTCAACGTAGACTATAAAAGACTTTAACATAAATATAAATGTCGGTACGGGACGCGCCGGTTTATGTTACTATTTGAGTATTCAAAATGACATTACCATCAAAAAGGGTATAGATGAATTTTAATTTATCGACCTTGATTAAATTTCTTTACGCCTTTCATGTCATCTTAAATCAGATGCAGGTTACACGGCAGAGTTAACATGATATCATGATTTCAGTTTACGACAATCAATGGCGAATCATTCGTGGAGTTGGCTCCTCTTCAAGGCTTCGCCTGCGACTTGTATCGCGTCTTAACGAGATATGGCGGCTCGATGAACGCCTCGCAATTTGAGAATGCGTACCAGACAATCATCGGCCAACCATTGCGCGTCTCCCAGTTTGGATATTCATCTCTCACGGCTCTTCTTCAAGCTCTGCCTTGCACGGTAACTCTGAAGGAGTCTCGCCAGAAAGAGATCATCCAGCTGAACAAAAAGTTAGCCAGTGAGTATTCATCCAGTGCGTTAATTTATCTTCGTTGTGGATTAATTTGCGAAGCTTTTTCAGAATGACACCAGTGGCGCTGGCGTCGTTTCGCTTGGCGAATGTTTATGAATTTATGGGTGAACTTAGTTTAAAGATTTAAACTGGGTGATATTTATGCGTGAATGCAATGTGTGTGAATTTGGTTTAAAAATGCGAAGTGTGTGAAATTTGTGTGTAAATTTAATTTTATAGGTGAAAAATATGTAAAATTTATGTGGGAATTTAATTTAAGGAAGCAATGTGTGTGAGGTTTACGCATGGATTTCGTTTAACAACGCAAAGTGTGAAGTTTATGTGCGAATTTAATTTAAGAAGACAAAGTTTGTGAGGTTTATGTGTGGATTTGGTTTTACAGCATTCATTCTACACGTAACGTACGTGTAAAAAAAACCGCCATTACTTATGCACCAACCCAATATTTTAGCTTACGAAATGCAATGCATTTTCAAAAAGAGACGAATTTCAAAATACAAAGAACTCTCACACCGTAGTGTTGAATGAAAGTAGATTTCAAACATTGCAAGTTCAATGGATGGTCACGTTACAGAAAAGTTTGTTGTCCTTGATTAATTTTCTCCACGCCAAATCTATTCATTTTACGGCAACTAACTTAATATGTACATAGTTTATATGCAAATTATGTCAATGAGATCATTGGAGCGAAACATCGACGAACAATTGAAGCGAACCCTAGTTTTTCATTGTTCAAAGTCATTGAAATGTCGATTTTACGTGTAAATAAGGTCCAAGACGTTAATGGAGAATTATTTTGCAGTCTCGTTGCCGTCGACCTCGTCGCCTCGAAGCAGAAGCAACGATTCCGGAAGCGAGTCCTTCGAGAGCGAGACTTCATCTCGGAGCAGCATCCTCGCCGAGACTTCCAATCCTCCCGCAAACTCCACAAAACGTCCAGGACAGACAACCGAGACCCAGGCAATTTGGAAGCGGAAATACGGAGAGCCGAAGTCCTGGAAAAAGAATAACGACTCTCAGCTGGAAGCGCCGAACGAGTGGCCCGCCCTGGAGGAGCAACAAACTCCCCAGGAGAACACCCCCACCGACGTTATGCGTATCCCGTTTCCACCCGCGCCTGTCTCACCGGATTTACTTCAGTCTCCTGTCGGGGTACGAGCTCGATTTCATTCCTTCGTCACTGATCACTTCGTTCGCTGAATTTAAGATGATGTGAAACAGTCAGCTTGTATATATCTGCGAAGTCAAATCGTTGGTTAAAGTATTCTCCGAATTGATTGTGCATCCAAGAAATGTATCTTTTCGTTTCTGTTGAAAGAAAAGAGTGATATCCTAAGATTTATATAATTTTAAGGAATTTGTTAATGCTTCTAGGCGGAAGAGAAGAAGACCGGCGTGTGGGAAACTCCCCCGAGAGTCGTTCATTCCACCCAGGACAAGGCAATCGTCGTTCATGTAAGTTAGGGAGTACTACTTTAAGATTAAGTGAAACACGTCGAGAAGTTCTATCAACGTCGGTAAAAGATATTCTTTTAAATACCTACGGTACCGACGTTCGTGTTTATATCGACATCTGTGTCGAATTATATTGGGTATTGTACTAAATAGCATTCTCCATATGTCGTTTCCGTACAATGTTTACAAAGAAGTTGAAGTAAAACCCGAGAAATCCCCAGGATTTGTGGTTATTGATGCCGTAATTGACTGCACAGTGCCATCCTGCGCCATCTGTGATTCCAGTTCTAACTAAATTTTCTGTCCGAGACCTCTTAACTTCGTTTTAGCACGAAAGCTCATAAGACACTTTTTTCGTCTTTATTCCATACAAATGCGAGTTTCTTGATAACCAGAATGTTCTAAATCTTTGCATAATTGTTCTGACACCCTTGTTTCTTCAAAGATTCCATCTATTGCATCTGAGCCTTCAATAATTATATATCAATCGAAATATGAGAGCCCGACGCCATTTTAATTCTGGTCTAGACTAAATTACAAAATTCCTTCTTTATAAATACAAGTTTTGAACGCGTCAGGATAATTATATTAGATACTCACGAGTCATGTGTCAAAGTTTCGGACAGTTAGGTCCAATACCCATAAAAAAAAGTGTCTTATTCGAATCAATTGATTTATGGGGTTTCACTTAAAAGAAATCAGAAGTCTTCATAAAAGCCCAGAATTATACGGACATTTGATGCTCGATAAATAGTATGTTAGCCAATGGATGGCGCTGCAATCTTCTCTCCATCTCTCTTAATGTTATACGAGTATAGTAGTACTTAATGTGTGTACGAGTTAATCGCGCTCTAAATAAATTTGGAGGAACATTTACGTTTTTAACCCACGAGCAACTTAGACGTTAACTTTAACCTACGGTTGGGTAATCAGTGATTTAACCAAGGTTAGTGGAACCGGGTATAAGAGCAAGCGCCATCTGGGCTTCTATGGAACTTCTGAATTCTTCGACTTCACCTTAACAGATTGAATGACATATTACGCCGCAGTCGCTACGTCGGCAAGTTTACTTTTGTAAGTAAATTAAACTAAGCTTTTCATGAACGAATTTCACAGCTGCCGCCCCTGACGTCGTTCCTGCACTGGGAGGAGGGCTCGAGCGACGAGAGCCCGTCCTACGTGATCTCGCCGATGATGCATAACCTCTCCGTGACGGGGAAATCATCGGTGAGCCGAAACTTCGCCAGCAGTTCGTTCGAGTGGACCTCCGTGGAGGCTCCTCACCCCTCAGAGCTGCCGCTTCCATCGCTGTCGCTGACCCCGGTGAAGAAGAGCCCCGTCGAGGTCCAGGTTGCGATCGACGATCCCGAGGTCGCCTCTGCTCCGGGGCACGACGAGGTCGACTCCGTCGGCCGGTCCAGTGTTACTCCGAATAAACGTAGTGAGTCGTCTACGATCAGAAAGTAGAGAGAAAGCCGATGCTAGAACGGTAGATACCTTGGGCCTACCTCGAGTACCTCGCGCAGGGGCCCCCACGGCCGGCAGGCAAAGCAGCGCCTCTGGTGGCGGTCCAGGGAAACATCAGGAAGCTGTTTTCTTTGATATGTTCGCAGGAAAACGCCGGCTGGCCGCCCAGTTCGATCAGCCCATCGACGCGACCGCCAACGCGAATCTCTAGGGCCGAACACCGCCTCGAACAACTGCGGGTGCAAGGAAACGGGTTATTCTTTAATGTCGTGTGCGAGTAGTGGACTGGAAACCACTGGCTGGGCTCTACCGGGCGCAGTTTCATCGGAAACTGAAAATCAAGTCGTGTAGAATTATTCAAACCTGTGATTCTCTTGGTATCGATTCCTCTTGATCAGTTTGAATAGATACTTGAAGTACAAACTGGTCAGACAGCGACCCTAGCTGTGGTTAGATGAACTACCGGGAAGCTACTTCCATCAATGCTCGCTCGGCAGCTGCTCGGCTTAGCTACCCCGTCCAATCCATAAAGAATGCAATCCTTCGGGGCGATTGACGCCTCCAACAATTGCATTTGCAAGGAAACGGGTTATTCTTTACTCTTATATCTGCGTGGGTAGAAATACGTTGGCTGGACTCTGCCGGGCGTAGATTGAGCGAGAACTGAAAATTAAGATCCTCACGATTATCTGGAATGATTAGAAGGCGTGAAGAATTGGTCAGACCTGTGGTTCTCTTGGTTTCGATTTCCCTGAATCGCTTTGATTAGGTATTTGAGGTGCAGTCCTGTCAGACAGCGTCCTCAGCGACGATTAGGTGAACTATCGGGAAGTTACTTTGAAACTACATGAATCAATGCTCGCTCGACAGTAGCCCAGCTTGATTAGCTCTTTCAATTGATGAGGAATGGAATCCAACTCCATCAACGCCTCAAACAACTGCATTTCCAAGTAAATGTTTATTTTTTATCGTTTGCATGTGGCTGGATTCTGCTGATCGAAGTTGGATCAGAGACTAGATCGTAGATCCTCGCTTCAATTGAGAATGATCGGAAGGAATTTCAGTCGTAGGGAATTATTCATATCTGTGATTCTCTTGTATCCGGAGCCTTCGAATTGGTTTGGATGGGAAACCTGAGGAGGTAGCTCGACCAAGTAACACAAAGTAAATCATAAATGTCTAGCTGGAGATTCTTTTCTTTTTTAGTACTCACAAGGAGACGCCAGTAAAGTGGGATTGAGATTTATAAATCCTCCCTTCCATCCCAGATGATTAGAGAACGTTTTGCTAGTTTAGGAATTATTTCCACCTGCGATTCTCTTTGAAGTCGTAGTAAGTGTTGGCGATGGTAGGAGGAAACGTGGATCCAATTCTTCTTTTTTAGTCGCCGAAGCAAGGCACATGTTAGATGCCGTCCTTTAGAAGCACCGAAATTGACACTTTTTCCAACTGAGCTTATCGATGGCTTAATTTCTCCCTGTACTTTGAGATTAGCTTGGAGCTTGAACACATGGACATCTAAATCGAAGAATTTGTGCCTTAAAACAATTGGTTTAAGTTATACAAACGAACGTAGAGTTATGTGAACAGTCAGAAGGATTTAATTAAGTTATAAATGAAAACTTACATATCTTACTCGACGTTCAATCGCTTGGTCAATAAGTAACCTCTTCGGCGTGAATGTGCGCGTGTTCACGCGTCCTAACCTAGAAGAACAGTGAGAATTAATTGCAGTCGGTAAACTGAACTTGCAAAAGGGCAGCTTCGACACCTCCTTTGAAAGGAGCCACCTTCACGGTATTAGAAATGATTTCTCGAGAACGAGAGAAGGAAATCGCTCCCGAAAGGGTTATTTTACCTTTGCGGAAACACCCTTCTCATTTAGGAATTTCGATAGGACATCATGGGTTGAACACGATGGGAAATAAATATAATGACTATTGTTTCCTCTCGTGTGACCAATCTCTACCCTTCGTTACCTTCTATTGGAACTCTTCAATCAGACTTCTCCAGCATGTGCGTAGTATTATTTCCTTTTAACAGTCGTATTGGCCCCGTCGATGTACTCTCCCTTAATAATTTTAGCCATTACTTTCGGTAGGGACCGGGGAGAAGACTTGTCGTTTCCTCAGGGAAGATTAGGGAAGCGTTTTTATCCACGAAAAGACAAAAACCCTGGAATAAATATATAGATATATATAAGGATGTATTTACTTGCGTCGTGATGAGGGATAAAACGTGTCCTACGTGTTGGAATGCTCATTATCTGCTCCATGATCTCCGATTTTATTTTTTAGTAGCGTATACGTCCATGTAATATATGCGAATAGTGTCTAATGGCCAGTACGATGGGTCGTCACTGTCGAGAAGAAGGATTTTGGATGGCACACCTTGATCGTGGATTTGATGTTTGTCATTGCAGCGTGGCAATGGGGTTCTAACTAAATCGTTGAAATATTTCCATGAGTATTCATTTAATTCGAACTATGTACAAGAGTAACTGTTTAAAAGAGGTTAGAATCTGACTTTTTAACACACAGGGTGGTTCACGTCTCTTCCGCCTTTGAGGTTAAAGCAGGAAGCTGGCTGAAATTTTATTATATGTGCATGTTTAAATTACAGGGAATATTTATTGACTGGGAATGGTGCATTTAATCTAACGCAATTTGATAAAGAAATGATTTTTCTTATTTTTACCTCAATTGTTATAAAATAATTCATTTTGCTTCAATCGTTATAAAGCATTGACTTGGTTGAGTAAATATTTCTGTAGTTAAGTAATAACCTCTGTAATCCAGATTAACACGTATAAAATGTTTTGTCAGTTCCGAACAGTAGCCTTAAAAAAATGAGAGATGCTAACTTCACCAATAAACTCGCACGATAAATTGTCGCTGTACAATGTTAACTTTTTGTATGCTTATAATATGCAAGAAGTTTTAATTGAATGGTAATTTCAATGCAGATTTTGAGTGGAATGTTTGATTTTTTTATAAAAGTATCATGTGCTTTACTATTGTTTTCTGTAATCGGCTAAAAATGAATTATTAACTATGCTTGGAATTTGTGATTGGCTAATGCTCATATTGCTTAGATTTGTTATCGATTGTGCAGTGATTACGATTGGAAATCAACGATGGATTATCTGCAGTTTTGTGATGATTAGTTTTTGAATCATCTGTGTAAATTGTTATCAGTTCTCGTTGCCAGTTGCTATTTGAACTGGCATAACAGTAATAGTCACAAGTGCAGTTGATGATTACATTTCGTCAGTTGTAAATTTCAAGTGCAATTGACGTTTAAATTAGAGATCGATTGCAAATTGCCACTTAATTGTCAAATAGTTATTCCGAATCTTAAGGTGGCATGAAAGTGGAAAGAAGAGTCTCGTTTATGAGACTTTTCTCCGAACTGGATTAACCAAATCGCTTGACATTTTACCACGTGAATGTGAAAGCCTTAATAAAGGCCCTAACTCATGGAATTTCATTTTTAAGATTTGTTTATAAACATTTTAAAATTGTTGTATAAGAAAAATAAAATTGTATGGATGCCAGGACCTTTATTAAGGCGTTCCTTTTCACGTGACAAAGTTTCAAACAATTCGGTGCACCTAGTTAGCAGAAAAGTGTCATAAATGACACTCCACTCGTGTGTTGACTCCTCCGATGCTACTTTCATATCGCCTTAATAATGGATTCGAGTGACTACAATTAAAAAATGGTTTCCATCCACAAATAAATGCCATTGAAACTAATCCTTCTCTGTTCCATGGACTCTAGTTCTATGTTTGAATACATGAAGTCCGTACATATCGAATACCTTTTCCAAAGTGATGCGAAAACTCCATTTGTCAGCTGTGGGTCTTATCAGGACACGCAGTACAAAAGAAATGTGCGAAATACTCTTTGATCATTACTTCGTTCAGACAAGTCCTTCGAGGTACCTCTCCGCACCATGGTCCAACATTGCCTTGATCGATTGGTTTTTACACTGCAACTTTGATTCCGTCGTACACAGTGCCTATATAATATTTGTTTGGTATATGTATATATGTATAAGCTTATTATGTAATTGTACAAGTATGTAAACGTCGATCGCATACGACTGAAACCTGCTAGACTTAACAGTGATATTTATGTAGCGAAAGAGAGAAAGAGAATGATTTTGTATCGATTTCTGTACATTTGGGTAGTTTAAGTGTAGCAGATTTTAGTCGTCTCGCCCCCTTTTTTTAGTCAGCATCCTACACCTTTAACTTGTCTTCTTCGTTGAAGAAAGGTAGCGATGCTCAGGTGTCCTCAGTGAAGGTTCTTCGCTGCCTTCGGAGAAGCCTCTGGTGTTCGATCCAGTTTTCTTGTCCTGTCGAGTTAATTTCTTCTCTCAATGGGAGTTAAGGTAGTGCTCGGTCGATGCTAGACACGCCTGATCATTGTAATCCGCTTCTAAGGGACAGAAAAACAAACTGGTTTGATGCCTGAAGTGTTTTAACGTCTTAACGAATAGGAGCGAATTGTTAATTATTAGGGAGATAATTGGATTCTTCGACGAATGTATTATAAATTAATTCGGCATGCGCGGTCGATCTAAATGTTTTTATAAACGTATACACGCGTTCTTCCAACTACGATGCAAATAAATTTAATTACAAAGGAACGATGGTTTGTTGGGTAATGTATGAATCGAGTAAAGTAATTAAGATTATGTGTTTAGCACCTGAAGATTGAGTGAAAACTTACAATTCATTCTGTTTTATGCAGAATACAAGAAATGCAATTAAGTACAAATATTTATAATTTTATGAGATTAGTTAAGGAAAACATTAGAAATATTCCCTAGTAACGATTTAGTTTTGTAATTACTGGGGAGTATTCCTTAATCTGTTACATCATATCTCATCTTACAACTGCAGCAAAATATGCACTGTTTTAGTGGAACTTTTTATGACATAATAGTCATGTAAGTTCACATGTTATGAAAGAGTCCTGGAACATGAAATGCTTTTTTTTTAACAGTTAAATCATATTTTTTTTTATGTAATATTGAAAGAAATTCTGCAAATATTTTTATTCAGCATTATAGCGTTGTTTTCAATCTTTATGAATTTCGGCCATCATCAGTTAGGCTTGGTTCCACAATTCTGGTTAATCGGAGTTTAGCTGATTTGCAGCAGGTTAAACCTGGTGTAAACCAATTATAGTTCGGTTAACTTGAGTTTTAGAACCGGGCAGGGATGAGTTGGGAGATTGCTCACGGGCAGGGTCGCGCAGGATTTAGGTGGATCACAGCAGGATCCATTTTTTTTTTCAAGTCATCACGGGTAGTTCATCGCTATAGATCTTGCCGACCCTGCCAGTGAGTAATGTCCCAACTCATCTCTGATACATATTGACTATATTTTGTGCACTTATGAAAAAGGAAAACCGTAGTAAAATATCTAGAAACTATTTTCATTAATTCCGCTTTTTACGCTAGTGGAAAAACTCTGGATATTGATTAATTTTTGTATGCATAATGTTTCTGGGGAAATATACAATGGTTTCCCCTATTTCACACGAGATGGCGCGACATTATTGGGGAATCAATATGGCTGCTCTAATTTCCCCGTGAATATGCCATCTTCGCAAGCAGTTCGTTCGCGCCTCTTTTGAGGCGGTTATGGCCGTCGTATTTTTGTACATTTAACAAATTCTCGTAATCTTAGAGACTTGTCAATTCTGATCGGTGAAATTGCCCACCGAAAATGCCGTTTCGCGACAGTCCCTTGGAAAAATTCCTGAGCACAGTATACAACATTCTCGATGTGCCGGTTACTGCTTTTCGAGGTATTACCTAATCACCTTTACCTTCTCCCTTGTTTTTCTAATATCAACATTAAAAGAAGCCTCGATTCGTGTATATCAGAGTGTCTCGAATAATTACAGAGAAAATCGTCGTACCTAATCAACAGAAGTATCCGTGGTATCACCAGCAGTTCCGCAGAGTTCCCACAATCGCTGAGTGCAATGTCGACGACAATGTCTGTATCTTCGAGGCTCAGACACAATTCTCGAGAGATAAGTACGTTGTCCTCCGTTACAAGGTGGAGAAGAAGTTCCCATACGAGCCATTAAACTCGTTAAAATCGAACGTTGTAAGCGAACTTTTTCCCCATCTGATATACAAATAATATAAGTTACTTGTAAACACAACGGACACAATTCTTAAGAGATAAGTACATTATCCTCCATTACAAGGCGGAGAAGAAGTTTCTATACGAGCTGTTAAGGTGATACAAAAGAGTCAGCTTATATATATATATATCTGAGAAGTTAAATCGTTTATGAAAGTATTCTCATAATTGGATGTACCTATTTCGTTTTAAACTTTACCACGTGAATACGGAGGCCTTAAAGTAGGTCCTGAAATTCATGAAATTTCATTTTTCATTCAACATTTACTTATTTATTTATTTATTGTGGACTGAAACCAACATGGCTTGGTCTATGCATGTTTTCGCTTTTTTGCTTCTTGGACGCTTAGAATTGAAAATAATGAGAATAAAATGAGTTTCAGGACCTAGCACGAACAATTTAAAACACTGTAGAAATGTAATATTACAGGGTCAGATGGGCAAATGTGGAGAATGATGTGATGTGATTTAATTTTATCCAATTTGTGTTAGGTTAGGTTAATAGTTCTAATCTGATCGTTGTAAAATGGCCAGCAATTAATAGCAATACACGAGTTCAACTTATTTTGTTCCACCTCCTCTTTAGCCTATTTTTCTGAAGAGAATTATTAATTATTCTTAATCTAGAAACTCGGTAGAGTTTTGAGCCAAATACATTTAAGCAAGAAATTCACAGTGTCGAATAATGAGTGATATTCTTTCACAAAATATCGTTACGCATTCGCTATTGATTATTTTGGGTATAACAGAAAGATGAATATAACTGGTAATAAACAGTAATTAGCTGTAAAATTAACTGAAAGAATAACATACTAATACTATGAAAATGTTTACAATACATAAATCTATTAAAGTCCTTGCTAATCGCATCATTTATATAAAGGTATAAATTGTTGTTAGAAGTAAAGTTTTAAAAATAAAGTAAACCAATAAAATTTTAAATGATTGATGCTGATGTTTAAGATGGGATGTGTTCAAATTGTACTGTATTTAAAATTCTGACTTACAACTGAATTAAAAAGCTATTGATTGTTTCGTTAATTTCCAGGTTGGTGGATAAGGAAATTCTCAATATCTTAAAAAATCGGTACGGAGACTGTACAAATTTTGAGTATCCAGACCTCGAGAAATGTAAACCACTCTATGATATGTACTATGATGCCCTAGACAACTGGTTCATAAAATGTAAAGGATTTGTTACCTGGCATTTATTTTTCTAATGTTATTACTAATCTCTGTGATAAGAATTCTGAATAGAAAGTAGTTGAACAGAAATCAACATTATCTTTATTTTTAGATGGTGATTTAGGATATAACAACAGCGTTATACACGCTTTTATGAAACAGAAACATCGCATGATTTGGGAGCGGAGACATGGTCCTGTTGGTACGGGAATGAGAGAATAGAAAACCTTGCGCTCTGTATTCGTGTAATGTTGATACTGTAGATAATAAAATGAATAATCGATTACAAGTACGGCATTAAATCGTTTTTCGATAAATTACAATGTTCTGCAGAAATTGAAGGACATTGTGTGTATGTACATGAAGTGATACATTGGAAAGATGGGAAATAGACAACGGTCTATTTTCACATCTTCATAGCGTGCATGTACTGACATATGAAGACTAGTTGTCAAGGTATATAAATGCCTTTTTTACAGAAACAAACATCGCTATATTTGGTTACTTATGTATATATTTCTTTGCATGACAAACTTTGTTCTCATGATTAATTACTGCTGTGTTAAGATTCTTATACACTTTTCTTTTATTCTAAGGGAGAACTTCGCAATGTAAAAAATATAAGCTATCCGACACAGAGGCTTTTATCAGTTTTAACTGACAATATTCCATAACTCGAATTAACCAGAGTTTACTCGGTTTACAGGAATTTTAAACCGGGTGTAAAGTAGTTAAACTTAGGTTAATTTGAGCTATGGAACAGTTCCACCAACCTTAGTCAAAAAGCTAATCCTCGGTTACGAGTTGCACGTTCTACCACATTTTAACTGCGGGTCAATTTCATTAACCGCCGTTTAGATTAACCAGCCAAATTCGATCGTTTAGCCTCAGTTAATCGAACTTCAACCTAAAAACTGCACAAACGTGAGGAAAACATGGATCATATTGAGAACGTATTAACATCTAATAACCAAACGGATGAAGACGCTTTTTTATTTTATTTACAATTTCTTAATGATCGAAGTACGCTTGAGAGTATTTTATATTAATTCTTAACCAAAGAACTTTACTTCTTGACGCTAACATCTATTAAATAAGTTCTTGCATGAAACTAGTGGGACTTCCTGTCTTGACAAGGGCGCATCTATTTTGTTTTTAATCAATCAGAGTATCAGCCAATCACGTGAATATATTCACCGACAATTCTACTTTTTTCGAACGGTACATACGATTAGCTAATGCCGCTCTAAATAAACGTGGTAGATATTTACGTTTTTAACCCATTATTAATTTGGATGTTAACTTTAACCTACGATTAAGTAATCAATGATGTAACCGAGGTTAGTGGAGCCGGGCATTAATCCTAGACCGGCTAATCTTGGATTAACCGAACTTTAAGTAGTTAGAATCGGATATAAACACGTTAAACTTCGGTTAATTCAAATTGTGGAGCCGGGCCTAAGTAATACACATTGTTCACGATAGATGTCACTACCTGGTCTCGATAGAATAGGCTTCGTAGCTTATTCGCGTCCGCCATTTTGCAATCGATAGAGACAACTATTTGCGAAGTAGTTTGACAGTTACGGGATTTTTGCGTCGCACTTTGCGATGTCTTGTTACGAGTTCTGTCACGTTCGGCTTCGCAACGCTTCTTGGTGATAAGATTGGCGGGCCAGGTGATAAGGTACGCTCTCAAGTCGACCTTTTTGGCTGTCTGCGTTTCCGACGTTACGAGTTTAAAGGGGACTCGAGAGATCATCGCGGCAGTGACTCACGATGCGCCTCAATACCAGCGAAACTATGCAGCGTTATTATTAATACGTATAATCTGCCGTATTTTTTAATTACGTATCTCTCTACACCGCAGAACCGGCTCGCCCGACGTCGCGCGTTCTCGAAACCGTCGGAGAGTGTCGTCTTTTATTTATTTCCAAAGGTTGTCTAGGATAACGTAACTTTCTCTGCGACTTTTACATCACGAGAGTTTTACCGAGGACTAGGAAGACAGATTTTATGTGGCTTTGGTTTACAAAGTAAGTTTGCGGTCTCCCTCTGTGCCTTCGTAGATTCAGGATACCCTTCGTTTATTTTAGAATGATTCGTTGGGTTACTTCCGTAGATTATTACACATTTATTATATAGTAAACATGTTTGCGATGTAAGTTAAGAACTGATTTATTTTACGATACCGTGGATGTATTTTGGTTTTAATTTGTTAAATCTTGTCCGGCAGTATGTAACCTTTCTCCACAACTTTTATATCAAGAAAGTTTTGCCAAAAACTAGAAAGATAAATTTCATTATGTCTTTGGGTTTAAAGATAAGTTTTATGGCCTCGAACTTTTGTGAAGTTATATTTATTTTCTGATAAACATGTTTGCGATATAAGTAGAGAACTCGTTTATATTATAACGATAATGTGCAAGCAGTTCCATTTTTATTTATTTTGAAATCTTGTCTGGGAATACATAACTTTCTCTGCAGCTCTCATATGAGGGGAGTTTTGTCAAAAACTCGGAAGATAGATTTTATGTAGCTTTGGTTTATAATGTAAATTTAAGAACTGTGTTTTTGAGAACTTGGGAAACCGTTTGTTAAGTTGTTTCTTAAGTGGTACTATTAGATTACAAATGAGGAACTGTTAAACTTATTTTGTGGCAAATATGTTCACGATGTATCTAGCGGACTCATTTATTTTATAACGATACTATGGGATCATGTAATTCTTTATTTGTTTCAAAAGCTTGTTTAGATGTACTTCATTTTCTGTCTTTCGTATCAGGAGAGTTTTATCAAAAATTAGGAATATATAGTTTAAATTGTTTCAGTTTATAAAATATGTTTATAGTGTCCGTGCTTTGGTAGATTTAGGAAACCCTGGTTGATTTTTTTTAAACGGGTAACTAAACATTTATAAAAATGATAGATGAAACAATTGAATCATAACATTACTGCTAGTTTAATTATGTAGAATTAAATGGTTCTTATTTTGCTCTTCGTTTAGTTTAAAATATTGGCTAGAAGTACATAACTTTATCTGTGACTTTTATACCGACACGACTTTATCGAGAAAGCAAGAGCGGAAACTTTTATTTTCTGGTTTTGTTTTAATTATTATCAAGTCCATTAATTTCATTGCAAGTCGAAAGTACAGAAGCATTAATTTCACAAGCATCAGAAGTTACATTTGAATTTTATCTGACCTCGTACTTGTGATAAAGATGGACTTCATGGAACTGATAAAGTCACAGCTGATAAATGTTTAGAACAATCGAGATTATTTATAGGAGCTTTAATTGCAACTTATCGAAATTTCTGCCACCTTTGCTCCCCGTTTCATTGACCGTCTTTATGCAACGAAACTGATAATTCAATTTATTTTGCAAGGTACATATGTGCCTGTAATTATGAAAGTGGCCCAATTTATTTATTTTTTGTATTGAAGAACTAAGTTCACATTATTGTAATTTAAATGTACGTAACATAAAATATGGGAGACTCATTTTTGTACGTTTTAGATTTTGATTCTGACCATTTTCATACTTACGGACAGATGTAGATGAAAGTTGAAATGAATCGATTCATTCAGTAATTAATTTTCATTTTTTCAGCTCACCGAATTTTCCTTAAATGTGCACACACACACCCGGGATGTGTAATTCTCTGTGTAAATAGAGAGGCAATACATATTTCGTCAGTTTCAACGCTTACGGATCAGTGGGTCATTCTAACGAAGTGTTTCGAGCAATATCAAAAATGATGGAAATCGACCCACCACATTTCTCGTCGAAGGACGATGAAATTCAGTATTGGATGGAGCTCGCTCGCCAAATGCATCAACGGTAACTAAAACTCTTATATTTGAGAAATGTAAATCTATTTTCTTGTAATACATTGAATGGTACGAGAAAAGCGTCGCGAAAGACATTATAATCTTTTAAGTGAAAGTTCTTTCGGTATAATAGACGTGTAAGTTTGCATGATATAAAAGGACTCCGATTAAAAAAGTGAGTCTTTTTTTTGTTTTTACAATTAATTAAATCATCTTCGTATTTGTCGCGAAACTCTACCGTGTTTTCTGATTGGAGCAACATAAATCAAATAGAAATAATTGTGCCCAAAACCAGTACTGAACGCGTAAAGGCATATTACGTTAGAACAATGAGGAATAATTAGTAATTAATAATATCTAATAATCAAGAGAAGTGGTAGCTTCTCAGACAAGTTCATGATCGTAGCTGAGCCCTGCGTCTCTTTACTCTAAACATCGCTTTAACAGGCATTTAATGTTCGTTAAGTAGCTAGTACTGCTACTAAAATATGCTATACATTTTTTAACATATAAAAATTCTCTTCAACTCAGTAGTTTCACTTCCAACGCAGCAATTATGTTTTTAATTGTAAGTCTTAGGTTAAGGTTGCACAGTACAACGTACTTGAGGCAACTCTTCGTTGGGTTTCTTAACCTAAAAATCGTAATTTATTCTTACCACGAAGTAGTATAAAGAGATAACGCCATGTATTGAAATCGTCTCTCACTTTAGGAGTCCAAGAGCTTCAGACTATTTCCGATCTGATGTCGAGAGCGTCTCCTCGATGAAATGTCGCAATTGAAAATTATCGCCCGCTAGTGTGTCTGCTAGTCTTTAATAACATTAAAAACGTCACATTCTGTAAATCATCCGCGGATTAACGTTTCATTTTGCGTACTTCAATTGCAAAATTAATAGCATATTGTAGGTAATATACGCCGATAGGAAATGTTTGGTTACGTAGGATTGGAGTTCCCTCATTTTCCGCAAGTGGCGCTCGCATCGTTAGATCAGCGAAAAACCTGAGATCTTGGGTTCCGATTCTGGGGCCACTTTCTGTGGAATCGAGCATAGGCTTTGTCTCCTTTTAATACTTCATGGGTGTAGTTATGTCACTACTTCATGATTCTCACTATTGCAGAAAAGAAGACGTGGAAAGAGAATTGGAGGAGTTTCAAGAGAGCTCGCAGATGCTGGAGAAGGAGCTGGAGACTTCGCTGGAGCAGGCCGAGAAGACGAACAGAGAATTGCGACAGCGAAACGCCAGACTCGCCTCCGAGGTGGAGCAGCTACGTGCTCGGTTGGATCAACAGACTGTGGACTGCACCGCGTTTCAAACACAAGCGCAAGACCTTCAAGCCCAGCACGAGAGGCTGGTGAAGTACATACGAGAGCTGGAACAAAAGAACGATGACTTGGAACGGGCACATAGGTACTTCACGAAATATTCACTGGAGAGGTGTTTAAAGGTGGATTCACATCCGACAAGAATCAAATCTGGAGCCAAACCTGAAAAAACACTTGTACACGGAATCTGTGTAACGAATGTTAACCCTTTGCACTCCTTTGTCGAGTGTGACTCGACATCTGAATAATTGGGAGTGCAAAGGGTTTTCCCTTTGTCAGAGTTAGTCGATTATGAAACTTTTTTCAGAACTATTACAGGTGTACCGAATTATTTGACTATGGAAACCGCAAGGAAGGTTTTGATACCAATGAAATTCAATTTTTTAGAAAAGCGTAATAAGTTTGAAAAATATGAAATTTTATGGGTGTCAGGACCTTAGAGCCTCCTCGTTCACGTGGTAAAATGTCAAACTATTCGGTATCCCCAATTCGGAAAAAAGTTGTATAAATGACACTCTTGAAAAGCCATTTTTGTATCACCTTAAGACACGTAATTGTGCATTTTGTTCTCCACACACATTGATATTGATACTCGTGTTTTAGTATACGGATTCGTTCGACACGCTCGAATGTTGACTGGTGTGTTTTTAATATCAAAGTGTTTTAATGCTGGTTTAACAATTAGTTGATATTCAATTAGAAGCGAGTACTACATAAATATCCGCGCATTTGAGTATCCGTGTACTACAAATAACACGTATTAAAACACGGTTACGTTAATAACAAGAATACCCTGAAATTATCTGTTGGTGCACAATTTTAATGTTTATTACAATACCTGTGAGAAGGTCACTCACGTGGTCTGGAAATCAAATCACATAAGAAAACTGACTTGGCACATAACGCGTTAACGATTTGTTGCTACCGAATTTCCAGCATAAAAGATAATTTAAATTTATTAATAAGAAATCATTCGCGGGGTAAATGTTTAAGCGAGTTAGTAGGGTGTGAAACGCGTTCTAACCGACGTGAGTTTATATAAGAAATTCTCAAGATAACAAATATTTTATGGTGTAATTTTTTAAAAGGGTTAACATGGTAACCGAGGAGGAGATAGAGGCTAAGTTTAATTTAGCCATCGAGAAGAATGCTTTGCTCGAGTCTGAACTTGACGAGAAGGAACGCCTAACAGTTGTAGTGCAAAGATTGATGGACGAAATCAGAGGTATGACTGTGTAGAATTATATGATTGGTGTATTTCTAAAGTGTTTACAGAGTTTGGCACGTTTCATGTTGCACATTCGTTTCAGATTTGAAGCAGGAGATACAAGTGCAAGAGCGTCAGAAATCGGACAATGATAAATCATCGGACAGGATCTGCGGCGTCGTTGACAGCAATAAATTACAAGTCGAGCTGGAGTCCCACATTGTGCCGCCGGCCAGTACGGTGGCGCCACAAAGCATCGCACCGCAAGTTCACACATCCTTACCGTCCACTGCACCTCTCAAAAGTAAGATTCTGCTTTTTCTGTTTGCGAAACGAGTAATTTAACCAGGGTTGGGTAAGTATAATACGCCGTGTAAAATAGTAGTTTAAAACATTTTGTAGAAGAAATGAAATTTCATGAGTGTCAGGATCTTCCTTGTAGCCTCCACATTCACATTGTAAAGTTTAAAACTATTCAGTACACCTAGTTCGGAGAAAAGTTTCATGAACGATTGACCCTTCCGATGTCACTTTCACATCTAATTAAATGGGGTTCTTATCAACTTGAATAAAATTAAATTTGCTATTGGTCATTCATTTACTTATTAAAACGTGAAGAGATTCACTTATTAACTCTTTACTACTGATAGGGAATAATTTGTTAGAGGTAATTCTAGAGGGTAAGCAAAATGATACATGAGGTCTACGGTTAATGTATATTCATTTATTCTCTTGCAGTTGGGAATGGCGTTATGCCGGGTATCATCGGCAATAACAACAACAACAACAATAACAACTCCAGTACACCATTGACACCTTGCACTCGAATATTGGCCATGAATATGATCGGTGATTTGATGCGCAAAGTCGGGGTACGTCAATCGATTCATACCTTTAAGAAATTAAAACAGTGTACTAGTGAACGTAAAAATGTTGCGTATAAGTATTCATCGATGTACACGTTAGTATGTCGATTAAGAGTATGTACGCAGCTGCATTTAGCCTCGGGTACACTTTTAACAAAATAAATAGATTCTATAGTTGTATCTATAATCTTATGGTGTTATGAAAGGGTCAGCCTGTATAAATCCAGGAGGTCAAATTGTTCGTGGAAGAATTTCAATTGCAAAAGAATGCTGGCTTGTGTTAGTAACGCGTGTGTTTAGAGGAACAGGTTAGTTACAACTAACGTCACAGATGGCGTCACTGGTCCATTAGAGTATCAAGTCACGAATCCACGGGTTTTCGACTATTTTATATCGATCTCTAAATCATTACTTTACCAAAATGACATATGGAACGTTTCATTTCGTATAATTCCCAACGCAGCGTGTAATAGACTCCAATATAAATATAAATGTCCGTAACGTGTGGCGCGGCAGCATATGTTACCTCTTGAGCATCCAAAATGTCGTTACCACCAAAAAGGGTGTAAATGAAATTTATTTGATCGACGCCGATTAAATTCCTCAGCGCCTTTCATATCACCTTAACCGTTTGAGTCCCAAGCAGGGCGATCGCGCAGTTCAGATTTCACGTAGAAAAATCCTAGTACATTTGAACGCTATGAACAACTGACGGTGCAGTCAGAGTCTGTCGAAATAGCGCGCTCTTCCTTCCTTTTCTTCTTAGCATAAAAAAATCTAAACTAAGAGAAGCTCTATTGCGCTGATTGTCAATTTTCGAGGGCAAAAAAAGGCGTCTGGCCGAACAATAGCGCTTGTCTTAATTGAGACTGAAGAGACAATGTCTTTTTAATGACTACTGGAACTCATACAGTGAAATTTTTGGTGACGAACTAGAACGAGGGTGTTCATGGCGAATTCATTGTTTACCTGTTCTTTTATTTCACAGGCCTTGGAGAGTAAGTTGAACACGTGTCGCAATGCCTCTCGGGAAGATCAAGCTGTGCGGGACCTCTACAGGTAACGCTGTGACCACTTTAGTCCCGTAGGATTGTGTCCGTGTTCCTTTCGTCGTACTCTGCATGCGCTTGCGGAGTAAGGGGAGATATCATGTACCTGCAGTGGCCGTGCGTGTTCCTGACGTCGCAAAGACAGCGCCGCACAGTGTCGACCGTCTCTCCTAACGTATTAGTGTCGAAGTAAGGACTCGTCGGGTCGTTCGAGAACCGACGATAGGTGGCAGGGTACATGGTACTTACCATACGCCGTTAGTATTTCCCGTTTGGCGCTTTGGCACGACCGTGGTCTACGGCCACTGATCTTTACACTCAGACCGATATTTCATTCATTCGACGACGTCGCAAGATGAAGCGAATGAGAGCTTTTGAGTGATCGTTCGACTGGTAGGAACATACGACGAAAGTTTCTCTGCGGCTAAATGTAAGCTCTCGTAGGAACCCTTGAACATATTGTACAATTTCTAAAGGGAAGCTTTTTAGAAATTTAAACTCATAGAACTATTCTCATATTATTCAAATAGCCCGCGGGAAGTGTTCTGGTAATGCTGTGGCACCAGTGTTGCCACCGTTGCGATTCAGAGGGTAGTAGAAGTCATGAAAAATCGGAGTAGATTAACTGTCAGCGGAGTAGAAATTAACGTTACCGCCACCATAGGGCAAATGGCTGAACTAAAATCTAAGGTGTTCATTAGATACTGCAAGCCAGAACAGGCGCCACCATCGCAACCTCGCAACATAACCTCTCGTTCGCTACGTCGCGCGATGCCCTTGGAAGAATGAAATATCGGCATAATTGGATAGCTGATACCCCAGGATATAACGTGACGACTTAAAGCCTCGAATTTTTGGCAGAATTAATATTGTAACGTTTGCGCATACGTCGTACGAAAGAAGTACAATGGCGGACATGAATGCCTCCCCTGCAGATACGGCATCGCTTGTGTAGGACGGGAGGGCATTCATGTCTCCCAGTGTACAGTAGACAACCGTATAACGCGGTTAATACGTCACGCGCTATATTAATTCACGTTATAGGAAATCGTACGCTGTACAGGAATTTTTCTTGTATAACGCGCATAATGCGTTTTGTTATTTGTCGCGTTGTACGAAGAATCGCGTTATATGGAAACAGTAGTCGCAATATCTTTTGCGCGTTATGGAAATCCCCGTTGTATGAACTCACGTTATACGGGAGTCTACTGTATCTGTACTTAGAGATATAGATACACGATTACACGAAAACTTTCGGGTATTGCAACCTCTGTACAGGAGCAGATAGTACTTCTTTGGTCCGCATTCAGTGGCGCTGGTGTAGTACCTTGAATTCGTCGCACACTTCAGGAGAACAAATAGGTATCAGTTATCCATTTAGTTTATACGGTGTTTACAAAATGGTGGACTCGGTTTAGACAGCGCTAAGGTCGAAAATAGAGTGGAAAAGTCCTGTACTATTTTTTTTCTACGGTTTTTACCTGTAATAGTTAATTGAAAAATAGCCAACTAGGCGCGTTGATTAGATAAACGAATTAGCTCTGCTGTTTACATTGAAGGATAATTTACGACGACCTCTTCGATTTGCATTGCGCTAATCGACGCGCCTGGTTTGTTGTTTTTTAATTATTTATTACAGGTAAATAATACAATATAAAGAAAAAATGGAAACACAACGTCTCGACTCCATGTTCAGCAAGGCTTGCGTTGTGAATACCGTGTTCACCATTTTTGCAACATCTTATGTAAATCAGTGCCTATGACGAATTGCCTTCGTCACCAGAGATACTCACGGTAACAATGGCTGTTTCAAATTGATCACAGACTCCGTTTTAAGTGTAAGTCTCGATCAATTGTTCTCCCAGGTTATAGAGCTTTAGGAGTGGAGGGGATTTTTTTGTTATACATGCACAGTAATCGTGCCCGATGGAGGTTGGACAGAGAGGGTATATTCTGTCTTTTAAGGCGGTATGAAAAGGTGTATATATATAAAACTTTTATATATATAAAACGTCAACATATTTCTAAAACTTTTCGCCAAACAGGGTGCATCGAATTATCTGAAACTTTAGCACATCATTATGGAGGTCCTAAGGAAGAACGCAATGCTCGTGAAATTTCATTTTTCGAAAAAAAAAAGTCACCTTTTGGTTGTTCTCCGAGATAAATACAAATTTCTTTTTCGAAAAATGAAATTTCACGACCATCGCGTTCTTCCTTTTAGGGCTTTCATAATCACGTGCCTGAAGTTTCGAATGACTCGGTGCACCCAATTTGGAGAAAAGTTTTATAAATATTTTTACTTTTTGGTTTGTATATATGACACTTTCATATCACCTTAAGGTGATACGAAAGTGGTGCCGAAGAGGCTCGTTTATGAAATTTGTCTCCGAACCGGGTTCATCGAATCGTTTCATATTTTAACAGCGTGAATATAGAGGCTATAAGGAAGGTCCTGGCACTAATGAAATTTCAATTTTTCTTTCTTAATTTGTAGATATTTTCCAAATTTTTTGTAAACAATGAAATTTTACAAGTTTCAGGACCTACCTTAGAGTCTCTTTATTGATATGGTACAATTTGAAACAAATTGGTACACCCAATTCGGAGAAATACTTTCTTTTGTTCTCTCAGATACCACTTTCATGTCACCTTAAGGCTATGAAAGTACACTGTTTATTTGTCAAATTGCGTTTTCAGGTGTAATATACTTGCTTACACCGGTGTTGCATTTGCACCACGCTTATCCTTTAAAAATCGGAACTCTTAACATTACACATTTATTTTTCAATATTTGTACATATATGTCACTAATGTATGCGACTAAAATTCGTTTATCAATTACGATGAACTATATTCCCCAGATTTGATATTAACTCGACGCTTATATACTTCATTATCTTAAATTTTTTTAGTACTCATATTTACTAGTGACAGGATACAATGTATTTATCATTGTAATGACTCTTACGTACAGTGTAATTCAAAAACTTTTTATTTCTATATAAAAAGATTATGCAGTTTATGTCGGAAAAACTTGCGGATCCACTTGAGACAGAAAATACTTCTTTGTCTGATATCTTCAGAGTATCTCTCTCCTTTTAATGATCACTTCATTCCCATAAAAGTGCCAATTCATAGACGCTCTATTTTAGCGTTACGTTTAAAAGTAGTCACGTGACTTTTCCTTAACTCTAGCGGTAGAAAAAGGAAGTTCAGTGTTTCCAAATTTTGCGTAAACACTGTATCAGCAATGGTTTATTGTAAATTTGAAAGTCAGATAATGAAAAGGAGGTGAAAATCCATGTCTATTGTTTAGTTGAAGTACAAGTTCTGCTAAATAACGCTTTTCGCTGTATCCTTCTTTTTTTTTTTTCGTTATTTAAGGAATTTTATTTGGTGAGCAAGACGGGAAAAAAATGAGAAATACAACGTATGCAAGCGTGTATTTGGCGCGACACTCCACCGAGTTTTCTGATTTAGTATCTGATTACGAAATCATTGATATGAAACGGTCAGTAATGAGGAGATTTCGCAGCGCTATCTAGTGGCGCCGCCAAGAACTAAAAGGAATTTTAAGGAAATCTGAAGAAATGATTAGTTCCAATTTGAGGATTTTCATAATCTCGACTTGGAGATACTGTTTTTATATAATATATGAATCCTCTCCATTGTAATATTGCTAACTTAGGTAGGTTTCTGATCAGCTGACGTACAAATTGGATGCCGTGTCGCTTTTCATGAAACTATAAAACTAACGTTAACGTTTTCTGTGTTCATTTGATCCATTTGACGCTAAAATTGAGCGTTTAGTGCGTATGAAAAGGCACCTTAAGCTCTATTATAAGCTCTATGACGAAAACACTGCCGCAGCTGTGAAATGCCTTCAGATAACCTCAAAACCTAACCTAAGGTAATATGAAGGAGCATAAGGATCTCCCATTTCCATTTAAGAGTGACCTCATATCTCGTTGCCAAGTTAGCCAGTAGTAACACTAGCGACTCTTGCGGGAAAATCCGACACTTAAATGCTCATAATGCCGTTTAAAAAATACTTACGCGATAATCACGGAATATTTTTTAACCTGTAACCATACCAAATCATACCAAATGGCGTTACCACCAAAAAGGGTACAGATGAATTTTATCTTATCGACCTCGATTAAATTTCTCAGCGCCTTTCATATCACCTTACCTTGTATATATGTATTTGGCGCGAAACTCTGCCGAGTTTCTTATCCACCGAGACATTTATTTTTTAAAATTTTACAAATAGTAATAATTAAAAACGACAAGAACGACCCGTACCACATGAAGTGCCATGTTTCATTTGTTTTCTAAGCGCTGCCGTACTGTATAATCAAGTTGCAACGTTTTCCCGCAAGGATCGCTAGTGTCGCGGTCGGCTAAGTTGGCAGGCACACAAGTCGGAGTTTTTCTGAAAGACACACAGAAGTGGCAGCTCCTTAGGCTATTTCATAGGCAATATCCTAGCGATTGTTACGATCAGCCCTGCACAACGTTGCTTGTACATTCTCGCCGCATTAATTTTTTACCAGTTCACGAATTTCTTCCCTGCACGTACACACACATACACACACACCCTGCATAGCACCAGAGAATATTCACCGCCACTTTGTGTTGCATGCAGTTTGTATGTGTTGGTAGCTCGATTAGGTTTGTATATCAAGATATGAGAATATATAGAGGATGTCCCAGATCATCTGTCCATTAATATCAAAATGGAGGGGAATTATTTTTTTATGGATAACATAAAAAATTCCGGTAGATGTGTCGGATATAATCTGTAGAATGATGATAATGTCGACTTTGAGGACTAAATGGAATATGATGTCCGAATGTGGGTTTGCTTAGACCCAGTGTGGGTTTATCAGAGTTTTTTTGTTTTCCTTAAAAATCTTTCCCCTCCATTTTAAGGTGGTATTAAAGACAGGTTTAAGGGGTCAATCATTTATGGTACTTTTATCCAAACTGGGTGTATCGAATTACTTGAAATTGTACCATGTGAATGTGAAGGCCACGGGGAAGGTTCCTATACCTATGAAATTCAGATTTCTTTGAAGAATTAACATTTTATGAATAAATTAATTATTTACTTTTCATGGGTGGCGAGACAAGCGATCCTTAAGGTGTTTCGTGGTCACGTGGGGATGTTTCAGTCGATTCGGTATACACAGTTCGGAGAAATTTCATAAATGGTTACTCAGATGCCACTTTTACATCACCTTAAGATTCTCGTTCATGAAACGTCTTTCCAAAGTGGGTGTACTGAATCTATTTAAACTTTACAATATAGATGTGGAGGGTGTAAGGAGTCTTGAAACTCATATTTTAGGCCAGCAAAATTCTTACACTTGTGTTTGATTTGTGTTCGATGTACAATGGCGGATATGAATGCCTCCCCTGCAGATACGGCATCGCCTGTGCAGGATTGGAGGGCATTGATGTCTCCCAGAGTACAGTGGCGGATATGAATGCCTCCCCTGCAGATACGGCATCGCCTGTGCAGGTTGGGAGGGCATTGATGTCTCCCAGTGTACGTAGTAGTGCAATAATTGTGACGTATTTTTGGTCCACAACTCACTTTTGTATACTTCCTTGTTAAGCACTTTTCCATCGTGACTTTTTAACTCAATGTTGTAGGTGTAACATTATTCGACGTCCGTGTGTGTACGTGTTAATTGGTATCCGTGTATGTGCATTTCCACGTTTGATTGTACGCACCTAAATAGAAATTCATGATCATATGATGAGGAAAAATCGATTGACAAAGAATTTGCGGAACATTTGCTGCATATAATGTCTGCAATGTATGTACGAATATTGCATAATAAATTTGAAGAAAAATTTGCGATAAATTTGTCATAAATGGTCGTAGCAATACATTTATCGCATATTCGAGTCATGTACCAGTCATGTCATAATCGACATTTATGAGCTGAAAATTTATGGGAAATTTAACAGGAGCTGTAACATCATTCCGTCACATTAATTTGCGGAGATTGTATGAAGTTAGTTGATGCTATAAATGGGAGCTAAATATGACGTTTCATGTTTCCGTTTCCGTCACGCCATGACTCAAATATGGCTGCAATTGTTTATCGGCAATGCGTGAGATAAATTTAGCTGTACATATGCGGACAAACATTGAGACATTGCATGTACTTAACTTTGTTTCATATTTATCTATTTTTGGTTCATCATTGTGCTCTGCAGATATGAGTTCCAAATAAGGACTCATGAGCCACACCTTCATGACTCATTTCATGATCTGACCCTGTAAAGATAATGGATTAATTGAAGACGTGGCTTGTTAACCCTTTGCAATCGAGCCATGTTGTCGGAATGAATGCTCATACAAGCACAATTATCGTTGCAAGTGGATAATGTTTATAAAAAAAAAAAAGAAGAAATGTAATGTACCGAAGAATACATTTATGAATATTTAATAACGTAACAGTATTTGGAATCTTTGCTTAAAATGACATTGTTAATATTTGTACAAAATTGTTAGCCATTACTAGACTTTCTGACGGAATTATTTGCAAGATTCGTAGTTTAATATTTTAAGTTTAAGGTTAAGTGTTCCGCAGAGATGTGGTATCGTTTAAGATATCAATATGCATATACGCTTAGAAGATGCATGGCTCTTGTCGCAGTTTAATCTCATGCTACTGAAAGGGATTGTTTGGATTTGTATGAATGAAATTTCAGAAAGAAAATCGTGAAATTTCATTTTTCATCAAAGAATTTATTTACTTTTTATGGACTGGAACCAACATGGCGTAGTCCGGGAACGTTTTCGATGTTTTACGCGTCTTGGAGGCTTAGAATCGAAAATGAAGAGTTTCAGGATCTAGCTCGAACAATTTAGAATACCGTAGAAACGGAATATTACAGAGTCAGATGGGAAAATGTGGTAAATACTTTCACCAACGATTTCAAGAGAACGCTGGCTTGTCCCGGGGCTAACACGTGTTTATAGAGGAAAAATTTAGTTGCAGCTAAACGTCACAGATGGCGCCGTCGGTTCGTCAAAATATAAAGAGTCATGAATTCATGGGATTTCGGCAGTTTTACATCGATCTTTTTATCATTACTTTACCGAAATGACATATGGAACCCTTCAGTTCGTATAATTTTCAACGTAGACCGTAAATGACTTAACATAAATATAAATGTCGGTAACGGGACGCGCCAGCTGATGTTACTTGAGTATTCAATACGACATTACCACCAAAAAGGGTATAGATGAGTTTTACTTTATCGACTTCGATGAAATTTCTTAACGCCTTTCATATCCTCTTAAGGTGAAGTGAAACCCCCTTCAAATCAGTCGATTCGAATACAACACTTTTTCTTATGGGTATTAGACCAAACTGTCCGAAACTTCGACACATCACTCCTGATCATCTAAGAATTATCCTGACACATTGAAAATTTGGATTTTTGGAAAAAAATGTTTAACTTAATTCAGAACAAAACCAAAATGGCGACGAGCTCTCATGTTTCCATCAATATACAATTATCGAAGGCTCTGATATGAGAATCGAAAGGGTCAGGACAATTTTACGACAATTTAGAACACTCTCGTAATAGATAAACTCGCATTTGAATGGGATAAAGGCAAAAAAAGCGTTGTATGCGCTTCTATGCCAAAACGATGGTAATACGAGGTCTCGGAGTGAAAATTTAATTGACCTGGAAATCACAGATGGCGCAGGGGGTCCCTCTGCAGTCAATTAGGGCCCCAGAAAGCATGAATCCAGAGGATTTCTGGAGTTTTACTTTGATTTCTTTATAATTATTGTACGAAAACGACAGGTGGAGAATGCCATTTGGTACAATACCCAATATAATTCGACACAGCTATCGATATAAAAACGAACGTCGGCAACGTAGGCATTTAGAAAAATCTTTATCGATGTCGATGAAGTTCATCCACGTGTTTCACTGCACCTTAAGTCAGCCAAGATACTTCGATAAGTAATCGTGAAACATTGCATATGTTCAATCAGGACTCGGAGGCAAGTGCGAAGCCTTGCTACGGGAAACAACAACCACATTCGATTGTAATTGCGTCCGAAAGGCAGCCACCGAATTCCTGGGTTACTTGCAGAGTGCGACGAGAGTATAATCGCGTCTCCATTACTGAGCCGAGGGATTCGTTATCCTAATCGTGTACAAAGGTGACAATTGCCGGTCGGTGCGTACGAGAACAGGGAACATTGGTCCCGTCCAGTAATTTCTTCTCGTACGTATGCAATCTGCGGATTCGTCCCATCTGGAAATCGTCCCAATAATGGAAATACTCGAAGATGATGATTTTGGATGCTGAGGTGGATGCGAAAGCTGTATCATTACGTCGCTTTCGTATTGAGGAGTCCCATCGTGGAAACGACTTTATTCCTCCTGGTTTGAAGAGAGCATTGGATAAGCACAATCTGTGAAGAAGGAGAACGCTTCTTACCGAACGGCTTAAAATTCTTCCTGTTGATTTCAATGATTATTCAAAGCAATCCGCGAATTGCGCGCTCTGTTAATTTCTCTTGTACGTACGTTGAATTGCTTTCAGTAGTTTTACTTAGGTGACAAGTTGCCGCAGCTGTATAAAATTGTATTTGCGAATGAGCAAAATAAATTAAATATTACTCCCGTAAATGTTTAGTGGAGGTTCGGAAAGGAGGTGAATTTCTGGCAGTGGACACGTTTAGGAGATGATTTGCGCTTGATTTGGTGGCGCCACCTATCATTTTTTGCGGATGTTTGCCGAACTAAAATTATATGGATGATTACGCTGAAGTATTTTTAAATGTTTCAAAGCGTTAAGGTGAAGTGAAACCCTCTGAAAATTGGCGATTTGAATTAGAACTTCGTAAAGGAGGTTAATTTCTGGCAAGGGACCAGAATTAAAATGGTGCCAAACTCATATTTTGATCGATATACAATTACTGAAGGCTCTAATATATGAAACGAAAGGGTCAAGACTATTTTACGACAATTTAGAACCCTCTGGTAATCGATAAACTTGCAATTGAACGGGATAAAGGCAAAAAAAGTGTTGTATGCGCTTCTATGCTAAAACGATGGGAATACGAGGTCTCGGAGTGAAAATTTAGTTGTTACGGAAATCACAGATGGCGCAGAGTGCCACTTGTAGAGTGCAGGTCAATTAGGGCTTAAAAAACCACGAATCCAGAGGATTTCTGGAGTTTTACTTCGATTTCTTTATAATTATTGTTCGAAAACGACAGATAGTGTATGCCATTTAGTACAATTCCCAATTTAATTCGACACAGCTGTCAATATAAAAACGAACGTCGGCAACCTACGTATTTAGAAAAATCCTCTTTATAGACGTCGATCAAGTTCCTCGGCGTGTTTCACTTCACCTTAATACAGAAGTGTCCCCCCTCGTTGATTTGCAGGTAAACATGGAAGTCTTCTGACCTGTAAGTATATTAATTATTAGGAAATTAAAGTCAGTATGCCTCGCTATTATAAAACTTAAGGTACACGTTTCTTAGTAAAGTGATTGCTGTAAAAATGTTTTAGAATCTCATTCTGTGTGTTTTGTAGACGATTTAAAAATTATGTACGTACATAGTAGAGTCCGTGGCGATCGTTACGTAATTTAAAATATCGCTAATGAAATGTCTGGAAAATCTATTTAATTTGATAATATGAACGGTTGGAGCTGATTAAGGACGGCTGTTGAAAGAAATTGTTCTGCAAGTCACTGCTGTTAACGTAACATGAAGCCGTAATGTTTTTAATATATCATGTTCATAATTTCATATTGGTACAGCAATTAAACATTTCTCTTATTTTATGATATAACGGAAAGAAAAGAGACGGCATAGTCTCTCGACCGACATTTAGAGGTAACATGAACTACAGAATAACAGAATATCTATTTTTTGTTTTGCAATTATTGAGTGGGTTGCTGCCATCTAGCGGTTGTACATGGAAACTGGTCCATGCCTAGCATGGACATGCACCCTATATTACAGTCACATAACACTGGAATAACATGATATATAACGAATGTTATTCAAAAGATACATTAATATCATTAACGTCGAATTATTACCGTTCGATAACATTGTTACAAACTTGTTAGCATTGCAGTTACATAACATTAACATAACATGTAAAATGTAACAGATATGTTATGTATACGATATATTATTCGTTTTATAACAGTGTTACATAGCTGCGTAGGGAATAGTAATACAAATCTTCTTTATGTTATATGTACGTTATATTACATGTTAAAAATGTTATGCAACGGTTATATTATTGTTACTTAACATTGTTTGGGGGGCTTGTAGTTTCTCATTGGCAATTCAGAGAACTTTGGAGCATGTCAATTCATTCCGAATAGCACCGTCATTTCTTGATAATCAATCATGGCCTCTGTCAAAGAAAATGTGACTTTTCAACAAAAAATAGTGTAACTCCAAATCCTCTCCTGCTTAAACCCAATAGAAACTATTTAAATTCAAATAACATTGGCAATGGACGTACAAGGCTAACATCTCTTTTTTAATTATATCAACCTAACAGGAAATCAACTAAAAAGTTGTTAAAAGTATTGTAACCTCTTTGGGGCGTTATTAGATCTAATTTTTAAAAATATATTCTGGGAGACGTTGCTTTCAATATGAGCTGTTGCAACGGTAACTCAAGAAGTAATGGGGCCGTTTCGAAGAGGTACAACAATGGCTGCAATTGCAGTTCAGGAAGTGGGAGTTGCAGTGGAAGTGGAGGATGCTGCAATGTGGAAGAAACTTATCACTCCTATGTACCTTTACCTAATGTACCTCAAAAATTTGTTAAACAATTGGGCAAAGGTGGCTGTGGCAGACCTAACTGTGCACGAATGATTCCTCCACCATCTCCTGCATCGGATGAAGAGGAATGGGAGTGTTAGTATTTCTTATTGTTTAGTCTTCCTTTTACCTTTAATGTACTCTATTCTTATTTCAACGGTCTCATTTCTTATGTATGTATGTTTTATTTTTATTTTAACGGTTTACATATTTATGTATGTGCGTTTTATTTTTATTTTAATGCTTTCAATTCTAATGTATGTGTTCTATTTTTATTTTAACGGTTTACATATTTATGTATGTGCGTTTTATTTTTATTTTAACTCATTCAATTTTCATGTATATGTGTTCTATTTTTATTTTAACTCTTTCAATTCTTTTATATGTGTGTTTTATTTAGAATGATAGAGTATATAGAGTGACCCTTTCTTATCACCTTAAGGTGATATGAAAGTATCATCTGAGGGGTTCATCGTTTATGAAACTTTTCTCCGAACTGAGCGCACCAAATCGTTTGAGATTTCACCATCTAAACATTAAAATACAATGCCTACTATTGTCACGCCTGATGAACAATATACAACGAAAAAACCATTTCCTCAATTACGACTGTGTTTTATGGTTACAGTTCCGAATGGTATGACTACTCTACCCCATGCACATTGCACGTGGCATGGTAAGAGAAACCAAAAAGATCGAGTAATTTATGCCAAATATAAAACTGTAACGTTGATTTAACAATTACAGGTAATAACTGCGATTACCTGAAACATGTTGATAATTCTAACCGAAGTTACACGCGAACTCAACCTACTTATGACGAAATGGGTTATTCCGACAACGACAATGGTAATTACTAACATTTATTACCTTATTAAATGCAAGGAAGTAGTTTTTATATATTTCACCCTGAAGAAAATGAATTTCATTAGACCAGAGAACTATTTCTTTGAATAGTACCAAAGAAATGTTTTGTTAATTTAAAGAAATAATTATTTGACTCGAGTAAATTCGACGCAACGTTTCTTCGGAATTATGACAATTTATTTCGAGTTATTTGAGTGATATTATTCTTTGAATTAACAAAATATTTCATTTGTACTAATCAAAGAAAAGTTTCTTTGATTCGATGCATTTTCTTTTTGTTTGTGCATTATTTGTCAGAAGTTTTTGAATAACCTAAAGAGACGATTATGGTAATGATAAGCTATTCAAACTAAGGGATAGAGAAGATGAGTCAAACTGGTATGGTATTAGAAATATACATATATATATAGTTTATATATACATACATACATACATACATATATAGTTTATATATATATTGTAGAATAAAATAATCAGTTCGTTAGAACGATTAAGGAAAGAAACCCAGAAAAATGGTTATACGTCGTAGACTACGTTAGTCATTGCGTCACACGATGCAGAAAATGAATGTGGATTAGAATTTTCAAATAGCCCAACATTCATAATATTAGTTACTATTTATGAACTGATTAAAGCTGACATTTAAATAAGTTCTCTTATACTTTCAATTTTGCCTTCACTTTAGATATGAACCAACAGAACGATTATGAGTATCAACAGGAGCAAGAAACCTACCAAATTAGAGAAGGAGGGGGATGTGATCAACCACAAATGTATAATCGAGATTATGCAGATTATTATTACGAAGACATTTCTGTCGATGAACAAAGTACGTTTATATGACGTTCATGTTATTACATCGATTTCATTTATATGGTGATAAGTACCGTAACACTTAACTCTTTATTTCTATATATCGTTATTATATTTGTGTTATTATAGTATATAAGAGATGATGTTATTATATTTTATATTTATTTATTTATCATGAAAGACTGGAAAATGGACGTATTTTTAAGTACTACAAATTAAGGCAATGTAACATAATTAAAGGACATTTTTTTATGGTTTTCAGAACCATTACGGACAAGGCCAGACCAAAATTGGAAGGGGGATTTAAAAGGAAAATACGCCAGTGAAATTCATAATAAAAAAGTGCATTTCTAAAATAGAAACAGAAATTTAGACATCTTAGGAACTTATGAAATTGATCACTGAAGCCTTTAAAAGTGGTGTGATATTTTGGCGATTCGATATCCTGCATGGGAAATTTATTTAAAACTAACATTGTGCGTCCAAATCAGTTATTATCATTGTAAATTAATACAAAAATGAATATTCAACCTTTGTGAATAATTAATTGAATATTCTTAATATTCCACGTTCGTTTCCATTAATTCCAAATGCCATTAATTATTCCATTAAAGACTTCATAATTACCATTAATGTTCCTTCGAATGTTTCTTCAATTACTTTTCACGTCTTATTATTCATTTATTGAGAAAGGAACATCATAATGAAACGCAACATACAGTTACAACACTTTTTCTCCTTATTTCGAGTTTTTGTTTCTATTTTTGTGTTTTGCAGAATCCTTCATTGAAATTTCCGTTTTCATGCAAGCCATTGTCCTCTTCCCATATTTGTGTGGATTGGATCCTTGGGATTTCCAGAAACGCGGAAATGTAACCTTCAACGTATCTATATTTAAAAAAAAAAAACCGTAAAATTAGAAATATATTTACAGATACATCTTACGATTTTCCATGTCATATTATTGGAAAAATTCGTCTAGAAAATGTTACGAAGACAAGATCGAGGACATTTTTTTATACACCTACCGATCGAGATACCGAGAGTTCGATTTTTTCGCGCCATGCAGATAATTTTCTCTATTGGCATAATTTCACACGTACAATTAAGGCTAAATTGCGAATAAATCCGATGTTCTACTCTTGGAACCTGCCATGAAGGAACATATGCCCAGAGATCGTGTTTATCGATGAGGTTCCTAACCTCTAAGTAGCCTAATTTCTTTCCACAAAATGGTTCACGCGTCTCAGCTGAAGATATTCCAAAGACTTGTCCAAAGAGCCTGAAATACGATTATTACTGAATCTGTTTTAATTTATTGAAAAATCTCTTCCTTTTATTACGCTATTTTAACTTCGTTTATCAGAAATAAGTCGGTAATAAAGATGCCGTTCTTTTTTTTTTCACTTAGCCTGGATTAGCATGAAATGACGTTGAGCTCGTATATTTCGATTAATATACAATTATTGAAGGCTTTGATGTGAAAAACGNTCGGACCTAGTTATTATTTACGATGTTCAACCTGGCGCGTCAAATTGCACAATGAATGTCATTTTTTGAACCTTTTGAATGAGTAAAGTCAACTTTAAAAAAGCCATTGAAATTCGACGATTTTTCTGCGTTTTTTAAGCTATGAACGAAACCCATTGGCCCATTTAATACCGAGATATGGATTTTTTAATATTTCATTTCGTTTGGTTCGCTTGAATTTTTTCGTCGACTGTTTCGGTTTAATATATAGAATTTAATATATAGAATGACCCTTTCATGTCACCTTAAAATACAGGTCGGAAAAAGGAAATGCAAATAAATATAATAAAATCAGTTTTTTAACAGTTTAATTTTAAGTAATCGTTAGAGATATTAATAAGTAATGTACGTACGGCAGGTCATTAAAACAGTGATCAGTCACTTGAGTGGATTTCAAAGGGCAATCGAGATCATATCTGTTGCCGCATTTTGTACACAGGTCCAATCTTTAGGGATAATTATTACTTAGTAATGACAAATTAACGTTTTGAACCCGAAGCCATTTCGACATATGGGCGAAATTCGTCTGACCGTGCAGGCAATATTCGACCAAACGTCGGGCGCCTTTGAGCGCTCCTACCCTAGTAGCATAGAATAATTTCTAAATATTTGTTTGTAATCTTTGCTAAATATCTCAAGCCACAGATTTTTTAAGATTTCTTGTAGATTTCATTCGAAGATATTTGAAATATTTGTTGAAAATCTCAATGACATATTTAGTTTCAATAATTTATAANAAATGTCTGGTAAATATTAACAAAATGTACGATATTCGTTAAATATATAGAAAATATAGGACAAATATTTTGTGCTACCAGGGTAGTGGCCAAAGAGTTAATATTATATCTCTCAATGAAGACCAAATATTTATGCACTTTTAGTTTTAAAAGGACGATATCGTGGTTTTTTTACTTACGGTACATCGGGAATAGAACGATTAACCTTAATAAATTTTTCAAAAGAAGGAATAGAATGAGCATCAAGATAAAAATTGGAATGGCCGGACATTATTACTTGCAAGAAATCGCGGTTATCGTTATTAAATTTACTAAAAGTGTTTCTTAACGAGTGACCATTAAATTAGATTATTAGGTAAGAAAATTCCCCAAAAGTTTGGAAATTTTGACAACATTGCCAATCAAATTTAACAATGAAGTGGCGTGTCTTGTTTCTCATTTTTTTTGCGCCTCGGAGCAAGCAATTTTTAATAATTAGAAGTGTTAATATTAAATACAAAAGTCCTTGATTGTATAAAATGAGCTTAAAGGAAAATATGTGAGATTTGATTTAAGCAAGATAGAAAAATCAGCTTTTTTAGCTTCATTAATGGGAATTAAATTTTATGATTACATTATTTTATTATACATTAAAATAAGGAAAAACGTAATCTAGGCTGCTAAATTATAATTTTTTATGGATTCTTGTTTATTTAACTAGTTAAAATGTGCGCTAGTAGTGTCAGCATGAAATTACAAGGATTTTGAGTAACTAATTTTTAAAGATAAGAGGTGTAAATATTAAATAAAAAAGGTCTCGATTTTATAAATTGAGCTTAGCGAAAAATAAGTGGGATTCGATTCAAGCAAGATAGAAAAATTAGCATCATTAGCTTCATAAATGGGAGTTTAAATTATAAAAAAAATGTAATCCAGACTGCTAAATTATACTTTTTGACAGATTGTTGTTTATTTAAGTAATCAAACTGTGGGTTGAAATATTAAAAAATCAAATTCATACGTTTTGCTGCCATAATGAAATAGTAGTACGCAAATATTGCAAAAATTTGTCTTTTTTTTATACCAAACGAAGTGGCCGATAATAATCGTAAAGTGAAAAATGTATTTTTATTATATGTTTATAAATTAAAAGTATAATGAAGATTTTCAACAAATGTTTTAGATATCTTCGAATGAAATTCATAAGACATCTTAAAAAATCTGTCGCTTGAGATATTTAACAAAGATTAGGAAGAAAATGTTTAGAAATTAATTTATTTTACTAGGGATGTTATCGTAGGGAAGTGTCACTAGTTATAAAAAATTACGAATCAGCCGCGTTTTTTAGCTCTTTCGTCCTATTGGTCAAATTGCAGACATATGTTGAAGTCAATTATGGCGATTTTTGACTTTAAAACTGACAAGTAACATGACTTGAAGGGTTAGAACATTTTCGAAAATGATTAGAAATATTCCCGCCTCTTTATCATTTACCAAAAAATCCTAACACTAATGAACAATGAGTTCACGAGGGAGAAGCGGTGATTCGTGTCCACGTAAGAATTATAACAAATTTGTTAACATTTTAGGGTCTAAGATATATTTCCTTAACAACATTATTTCTATTTAAAAATCAAATCCTTGTTACGATAACGCTGCAAAACACTATAAAATACTAATAACTTTCATGTAGCGCTGCAATGAATTTCATTATTTCTGATATTTATTATTTATTTATAGTCATTTGAGGTTATACATCAAACGACTGCCTTAAATGGAAATTATCGTTTAAATGTGAAATTTTTAATGTTATTTTTGAATATTCACATATAATGCATAACGATGATACGACATTGAATTAATATTTATTTTCAACAAATGGCCGCATTGGTTAAAATGGTATTATTGAGAAAACGTAAACTTTTCATGTTTCTCCTTCTTTGGTAAATGTTTTGTAAATATTTCAAATGGCTGTTAAATATTTACAAAATGTACGATATTCATTAAATATGTAAAAATATAAGGCAGATGTTTTGTGCTGTTAGGATTATATCAGTTTCAACGTGCTATTCTTAATTAAATTCTCTCTCCTTTCAATTGTTGCATTTTAGAAGGATTTATTCATATAACTGAACTGATGGTATATATTTTTACAGACGTTTGCGCGCAGGATAATTTTATCGATCTCGATTTCGTTGATCTGCCCGATGGTAAGGAAACTCACATTAATCTTTTTCAAATGATGTATTTGTCTTAATTATTTATGGTCGTCTTGGCTCTGCAAAAAGTTAAGACCAAAACCATGGTAGTTTTGGCTTTACAAGAAGTTCAAGCCCAAGGCTAAGATCATAGTAGTTTTGGCTTTGCAAAAAATGCAAGATAAAGGCAAAGACCATGGTCGTTTTGGCTGTGCAAAAAAATGCAAGATGAAGACAAAGACCATGATCGTCTTGGCTGTGCAAAATGTTAAGATCAGGACTTGTCTACTAGTCTTAGCATTACAAAAAGTGGAAGACCAAGATGATGGTAATCTTGGCTTTGCAAAAAGTTTACGACCAAGACCAAGACGATGGTAGTGTAGGACTTGCAAAAAATGCAAAATGAAGGTAAAGACTAAGACTATGGTAGTCTTGGTTTTTCAAAATGTCTAAACCCGAAACTCGATGGAATATGGCCAAGACTTGACTGGGCAAGACCAAGTCTCGAGTATATAAGACCGAGACTACCATAGTCTTGATCTTGGTCATGTATTTGCTGATCAGTAAGAGGCAAGGATGAGCAAAATCGGTCTTGATCTTACAGTCTTGGTCTTACAGTCTTGGTCTTACAGTCTTGGTCTTACAGTCTTGGTCTTACAGTCTTGGTCTTACAGTCTTGGTCTTACAGTCTTGGTCTTGACTTCGCAATTCTTGCAAGACCATCTTGCATCCCCTCATCACATCTTAACACCATGGAAGTGTACTTTACAATATAACGTTTCCCGTAGGTGATGCCGATGGCAACTATACCCCTCCCGCTGACTTTGGGGGCGACTCATTGTTTCAAGCAGACTTTTCGGATCCCGCGGATTTGATCCAAATCGAGCCAAATGAACCATTGTCTGGAGAAGATGTACCAGTATGGTGGCCGAATCAACGGACGCCAGAAATCAGCAGAATCGAGGAATGGACCCTGGACACCATGCCCGATTCCCGTGATGGACGTTTTCTCCACAGTACAATGAAGTCTCAAAGCAAACGGAATAATCAAGTAGAGCTTGATTGCTTTCAACTTTCCGGCGAATTGCCTGATTCCGATGATGAACTGTCCAGGGAGCACTACAGACCTGGATTATCGTCCTCGTCTGGAAATCGGGGTAGGTAGGTGTGGGGTGTTAGGGTTAGAGTTCTTACGAATATTGTTTCAAAGCTTTATAAATATTAACACTTTTTCGTATGCATACTATATCACACTATCATATCACCTTAAGGTGAAGTGAAACCCCCCTCAAATCAGTCGATTCGAATACAACACTTTTTTTTTAAGGGCATTAGACCAAACTCCGAAATTTTTACACATCTAAGAATTGTCCTGACACATTCAAACTTTGGATTTTTTTTTTGATTTTTTAACTCGGCCCAGACCAGAACCAAAATGGCGTCGACGTCTCATATTTCTATCAATGTACAATTATCGAAGGCTCTGATATGAGAAACGAAAGGGTCAGGACAATTTTACGGCAATTTAGAACACTCTGGTAATCGATAAACTTGCATTTGAACGGGATAAAGGCAAAAAAAGTGTTGTATGCGCTTCTATGCTAAAACGATGGGAATGCGAGGTCTCGGAGTGAAAATTTCATTGACCTGGAAATCACAGATGGGGCAGGGGGTCCCTTTGTAGTCAATTAGGGCCCCAGAAAGCATGAATCCAGAGAATTTCTGGAGTTTTACTTCGATTTCTTTATAATTAATGTACAAAAACGACAGGTGGAGTATGCCATTTGGGACAATACCCAATATAATTCGACCCAGCTATCAATATAAAAACGAACGTCGGCAACGTTGGCGTTTAGAACAATCTTCTTTATCGACGTCCATCAAGTTCCTCGACGTGTTTCACTTCACCTTAAATGAATCAGGAAAAAGGAAACATTAATTCGAAAGTTATCGTATAAACAAGCGTGGCGATCGATTATGGGGCCGGTATAATTACACAAATGGCTTGCTAAGATGTATAATACTTATGAACTAATCCCTGGGAATAGATTTTGCAGAGTTCGGAGAACAACACCCTCTTGGATTTGACAGAACTAGATCTGAACATGGAACTCCTGGCATGCTTGCAAATCTGAATCCCGCAGAACTCGCCATCTTCGAAACCGAATATCCTGAACTGGATCCACAGAGTAATGAATTCGTTTAAATAATTAGCGACAAATGTTAAGGTCAAGTGCAACCCCCCTCGAATCAGTCGATTCGAATAAGACCCCCCTTTTTTTTAAGGGTATTGGATCGAACAGTCTGAAACTTCGACACAACCCTAGTAGAATAATTTCTAAATATTTGTTTGTAATCTTTGCTAAATATCTCAAGCGACAGATTTTTTAAGATTTCTTGTAGATTTCATTCGAAGATATCTGAAATATTTCTTGAAAATCTCAATGAGATATTTAGTTTCAATAATTTATAAACATGTATAGAAATTATACTTTTTAATTTATGAACATATATTAAAAATACATTTCTTTTACATTACGATTATTATCGGACACTTCATTTGGTATCAAAAAACGGAAGAAATTATTATTTTCGTTCCGCTATTTCATTATGGGAGCAGAACGTGTGATTTTGATTTTAAATATTTTTAAAATCTGGATTTTTGTCTTTCAGTGTTCAGGACAGGTCCAGTGTTTCTTGACGAACCGACGCACGTCTCACAAGGTAACAGAATTATATTAAAAAATTACATTATATTAAAAACTAAACTATAAATAATGTCTCGTACACTGAGAATAAACAATGGTATACGTTACCACACTGTAATAAAATAGACGCCAGTCTCTGCAAGGGATATGATTCGCGCATGCTTTTTTTATTGTATTTGGCGCGAAACTCTATCAAGTTTCCTGATACACTAAAAACTGCCCAAACGTAAGGAAAACATGGATTAGATTGAGGATGTTTTAACACCATCTTATGACGAAACAGATGAAGACGATTTTGATTTTATTTACAATTTCTTAACGATCTGATGATGCGCTTTTATTCCAAAACGATGGTAATACCAGGTTTTTATTGCAGGAAGCCAAAGGTCGTGGAGAAATGTAGATGGATCCAGCCTGCGATGTCCTACTCCATCTGATCGTTGTAAGTTATATAGACATCATTGCAGTCAACAATATATATGTACCATGACGGACATGAATGCCTCTCCTGCAGATACGGCATCGCCTGTGCAGGATGGGAGGGCATCGATGTCTCCCAGTGTACAATATACAGAGACTTCGTTACAATCAATACTATGCAATATCTGTAAAGTAACTTAGGATAATAAGGCCCTTGGTTATTTATCACTATAGAATAAAAGTTGCAAAGTTTGTAATTCCTTTTGCCAATCAGTAGCACAATGAAGAGTCCATTCCCACCTTATTATCCCACGTTATTATCAATTACCAGAGGTGTCATGAAATGGACATTCTATATATATATATATAAAACGTCAAAATATTTATAACAATCTTTTCCAAACTGGATGCACCGAATCATTTGAAACTTCAGCACGTGATTTTGGCGGCCCTAAGGAAGAACGCGAAGCTCGTAAAATTTCAGTTTTCACAAACAAAAATTGGGATCTTGGTTCTAGTCTAGGATAAATAGAAAGAAATTCTTTTTTGTAAAATTAAAATTCACGAGCATCAAGTTCTTCCTTAGGGCCTTCATAATCATGTGCTGGAGTTTCAAATGATTTGTTGGCCTCAGTTTGGAAAAAAAATTCGATTAACATATTCATATTTTTATACATTACCCTTTCATATTTTACCCTTTATCACCTTAAAGTGTTTTTCACGTGAATAGCCGATAACCTGACGGGCATATCTACGGGTGTATCGCAATCGAGTGGTTATCAGAATCAACGAGTACAGGAGTCTCAGCGAATACAAGAACAACTATCGCGACGAGTACAAGAAAGATCGCAACGAATGCAAGAACAACAATCGCTGCGAATTCAAGAACAACACTCGCAACGAATGCAAGAACAGCTGCCTCCACGAATACAAGATCAGCACATACAATCAGGAATGAGCCGGGAAATTACACCGAGAGCGGAAAGAGTTGAAAGACAAGATGTCCCTACAAGTAAGCGAGACTTCCCTAGTAGCAGAAAATATTTCTCTTATATTTTCTATATATTTAACCAATGTCCCATTTGACCAATACCCAATATAATTCGACAGCTGTCAATATAAAATCGAACCTCGGCAACGTAAGTATTTAGAAATACCTTTTTTTACCAACGTCGATCATACCTTAAGGTGAAGTGAAACCCCCTTCAAATAAATCGATTGGAATACAACCATTTCTTTTAAGGGCATTAGACCAAACTCCGAAATGTTGACACATCTAAGAATTGTCCTGACACATTCAAAATTTGGATTTTTTTTTTTAATTTTTTAACTCGGCCCAGACCAGAACCAAAATGGGGTCGAGCTCTCATATTTCGATCAATATACAAATATCGAAGGCTCTGATATGAAAAACGAAAGGATCAGGATAATTTTACGGCAATTTAGAACACTCTAGTAATCGATAAACTCGCATTTGAACGGGATAAAGGCAAAAAAAGTGTTGTATGCGCTTCTATGCTAAAACGATGGGAATACGAGGTCTCGGAGTGAAAATTTAATTGACCTGGAAATCACAGATGGCGCAGGGGGTCCCTCTGCAGACAATTAGGGCCCCAGAAAGCACGAATTCAGAGGATTTCTGGAGTTTTACTTCGATTTCTTGATATTTATTGTACGAAAACAACAGGTGCAGTATGCCATTTGATACAATATCCAATATAATTCGACACAGCTGTCGATATAAAAACGAACGTCCGGAACGTAGGCATTTAGAAAAATCTTTATCGACGTCGATCAAGTTCCTCGACGTGTTTCACTTCACCTTAACGTGATAAAGACCAACAGACCAGCTAGCAGGTGATGGCATTGTGAGGCCTGTATAATTAAACAAATGACTTGTTAAGATGTATAATACTTGTGATCGAATCCCTGGGAATAGATTTTCCAGAGTTAGGGGAACAACACCCTTTTGGATTTAGCAGAAGCAGATCCGGACGAGGAAGTCCAGGTGGAAACCTAAATCCCGCAGACCTCGCCATCATCGAAACAGAATACCCTGAACTGGATCCCCAGAGTAATGATTTCGTATAAACAATTAGCGACAAATTTTGAGAACAATTTCGACAATAGGAGGTTCCGATCAGGGCGGTAATCTGGATCTTTGTCTTTCAGTGTACAGGAGAGTTCCAGGGTTGCTTGATAGATCGGCGCACGTCCCACGAGGTAGGAGAATTATACATTGTAATAAAAAATTAAACTAGAAATCGTACATTGATGATAAAGAGTCTCATACGTTACCACACTGTGGTAAACAGGCGCTAGTCTCTACAAGGGATATGATTTGTTCATGCCTTTTTTAAATGTGTTTGGCGCGAAACTCTACCGAGTTTTCTGATACACTTATGCCCGATTCCATCGATTTTGATCGAAACGTTAATCTTCGTTTACAATAAGTTGCATGTTCCCCTACATTTTCACGGCGGGTTAACTTCCATTAACCGCTGTTTATCGAAGGCAATCGGTTTTCAAAGGAAATCATGGATTTTAATGCTCGACGTAACGTAAATAACAAAAATCAGCTGATAATCGCAAGAGGAAATCGCTGGAAATCACCAAAACATTGCTACTATATTAAGCCTGATTGTCACTTGTGATCGAATCACATTGTTGACCATCATATGAAATCAAAGGCAATCGATTTTCAAAGGAAATCATGGATTTTAATGCTCGACATAACGTAAATAACCAAAATCAGCTGATAATTGCATGAAGGAATCGCTGAAAATCACCAAAACATTGCTACCATATTAAGCCTGATTGTCACTTGTGATCGAATCACATTTTTGACCATCATATAAAATCAAAGGCAATCGATTTTCAAAGGAAATCATGGATTTTAATACTCGACATAACGTAAATAACCAAAATCAGCTGATAATTGCATGAAGGAATCGCTGAAAATCACCAAAACATTGCTACCATATTAAGCCTGATTGTCACTTGTGATCGAATCACATTTTTGACCATCATATAAAATCAAAGGCAATCGATTTTCAAAGGAAATCATGGATTTTAATACTCGACATAACGTAAATAACCAAAATCAGCTGATAATTGCATGAAGGAATCGCTGAAAATCACCAAAACATTGCTACCATATTAAGCCTGACTGTCACTTGTGACCGAATCACATTGTTAACCATCATATGAAATCAAAGGCAATCGATTTTCAAAGGAAATCATGGATTTTAATGCTCGACATAATGTAAATAACAAAAATCAGCTGATAATCGCAAGAGGAAATCGCTGGAAATCACCAAAACATTGCTACTATATTAAGCTTGATTGTCACTTGTGATCGAATCACATTGTTAACCATCATATGAAATCAAAGGCAAACGATTTTCAAAGGAAATCATGGACTTTAATGTTCGACATAACGCAAATAACAAAAATCAGCTGATAATCGCAAGAGGAAGTCACTGAAAATCGGCGGAAATCGCCGAAACATTGCTATCATTTTAAAGCCGATTGTCACGTGTTACTGAATCACATTGTTGTGTATCATATTAAATCAAAGGCAATCGATTTTCAAAGATGGAAATCGTTTTCACCGATTTCCAAGTAAATTGCCCCTGGATTTCAATACATGGCGTTGTATCTTCTTATACTACTTCATGGGTGTAATCATTTCGCGTAATTTCATGTACAAATAGGAGATAGCATGAGACAACATCCTGGACCGTCTGGGTCGATGCCTCGTGGGGGAAGTTGCCATTGTAGTCGCAACATCGAAGCATCCCCTCGAGGTCCAGCCAGAGGAGCAAACATCCCCTGCAGTCATGCCCACAACATTCGAGGATCCGACTTGCAACGTGGCACTCACAAAATACTTACGAGGTTAACGTGTGTTCCAGATGAACCTATAAAGGTAATTGTGGTATCCATCTCTACGATTGCTTTGACAAGTAACCCAGATAGAAATTCATGATCATCATATGATGACGAGAATCCATTTACAAACAATTTGCAGATTATTTCCTGCATGAAATGTCTGCAATGTATGTACGCAAATTCCAGGATAAATTAGAAGAAAAATTCCCGGTAAATTTGCCATAAATGGTTGTAGCAACATGTTTACCGCATGTTCGAGCCATGTTCCATTTATGCCACAACCAACATTTATCAGATGAAGATTTATGGAAAATTTAACAGGAGCTGTAACATCATTCCGTGACATTGATTTGCGGACATGCAACACATTATTCATATTCATCTGATACAAGCGATATAAATTAAGTTTGGAATAATTAATTTATCAGCTGTACAAAGATTGTTTGATTTTAGTGTGATTCAGGGATACAACACATTATTCATATTTACTGCCAATGTGGAGAAACAAGAGTTAGAAGTGGCGGAGCAGATGAGATGGGATCATTACAAGGAATGTCTTCTTCAAGAAGAAGAGCCAGAGATCCAAACAGATGTGTTTCTTTCAGAAACTAAGACAATGGACGGCGTACCGAAAAGAACAATAACAAAAATTGAAAATCCCTATCTAATTGTTACATTTAAACCTCGAGAACCCTCAAAATATGACTCCATTACATTTTTTTTCGAGCTGTTGGTAAATCTTATTATTTTGCACACTTTCCTGTAATTTTGACTGACAATGCTGATCAAGCAATTCCCTATCTAATTGTTATAATTAAACCTCGAGAACCCTCAAAATATAATTTCATAACATTTTTTATGGAGCCGTTGGTAAATCTTATTATTTTGCACATTTTCCTGTAATTTTGACTAACTATGCTGATGAAGCAATTCCCTATGCAATTGTTACATTTAAACCTCAAAATATAATTTTAATACATTTTTAATGGAGCCGTTGGTGAATCTCATTATTTTACACAATTTGCTGTAAATTTGAATAACCATGTTGATCAAGCAATTCCTTCATTGTAAACAAATGTTTCGAAATACATTTTATTGTCACGCATATTAACATTCACGTATGGTATAGTTGTACAACGCATGTTATACAATATTGTTTAGTTTCGGTTTTGGAAAGATTTTATATTTTTTACTTTGTTTAAGATCTTGCATGAATATCGTGAAATATTTAGTGTTTTCTTTAAATATCTGCAAAAAATAATACGGTCCCTGATTTCGAAAGTTAATGTTGATTAGAAAAATTTTTCGCTTATCGAGGCAATGTTACGAAAATTCAACATTTATTGTATATATTTCACATATAAACTGAAATGTCTCGAGTGATCTCATGTGTCTATATTACGACAATAATAATTGTGATGCTATTAATTTTTTATACGACAAAATGGCTAAGAACTTTGAAACTGTGAACGTGGAGATGAAATAGGAAAGTCGAGGAAGACAAACGTTTTAAATCACTTAAATGACTTAATTATAATACATGAATACAATAATAAATTTGAGTTTTGCACGGTATTACTAATAACTTCTAAAAATATACACTTTTACGATTTGCAAAATGACTGAACTACATGATATCATGATTATTTTACGTTTAGAAATTTCTTCTCTAATTATTAAAGATGTATTTAGACAATTTTTAGCCGAATGTGTTACATTCAGTTGGTTTGATATGATATTATCACGCGCGGTAAAACATTTATCCCTCTTCGTTCTTCTTTATCGATCATGGGTGGTTAGTTCGAGTATATGCCACATGATGTCTCTCCTATTGCCGTTTAATTTTTATCACAAAATGAAACAAGTTTCTCGCTCAAAAATGTATTTGGCTCGAAAGTTTACCGAATTTGTTCACACTTATAGTACTACAGGGAGATCGGAGAAAGTAGGCTTACGGGGCAAATTGATTAATATTTAAGGTGATATGAAAGGGTCGTTCTATATATATCAAAACGTGAAAATATTTACAAAACTTCTCTCCAATCTGAGTGCACCGCCCAATTTGAAACATTAACACGTTATAGAAGCCCTAAGAAAGAACACGATGCTCGTGAAATTTCATTTTTCTAAAAGAAAAGAAAAACATCTTTTATGGTTCTTATCCGAAATAAGTATAAAATTTTTGTTTCATGATCATCAAAAATGAAATTTGACGAGCAGTACGTTATACCTTAGGGCCTCGATAATCACGTGTTAAAGTTTTAGATAATTCGGTGCACCCAGTTTGGAGAAAAGTTTGATAAATATTTTGACTTTTTGTTATGTATACCATCACACTTTCACATCAGCTTAAGGGGATGTGAAAGTGGCATCCGAAAGCTCAATCGTTCATAAAACTTTTCATAGAACTGGGTGTCTCAAATCATTTCATACTTTAAAACCTGAATATGGAGACCCTAAGGTAGGTCCTGAAACTCGCGAAACTTCATTTTTTACAAACTATTTTTAAAATACCTATAAACAAATTTGAAAAGAATTGAAATTCCATGAGTTTCAGGACCTTCCTTATACTCTCCCTATTCACGTTGTAAAGTTTCAAACTATTCGGTAAATCGAGTTGGGAGTAAAGTTTTATAAACAAAACCTCTTCGATGCCACTTTGACATCAGCTTAAGGATCCGACGCGGTTAAATCTTCGTGCCTTTCCCTGTGAAATTCCCACGTTGCGGCGTTAAACGCACATCGAGAAGGGAGTACGTGAGTTGGAAACAACGGTCACGTCCGGGACACGTTAACGCATAAAAATCCGCTTAGGAAGTGCCGTGGCGCCTTAAACGGTTATAAAAAACGCACGCGGGTCGGAGGAGGCCGGAAGGAAGGTGCGACTCGATCGGCGATTACCCACGACAAAGCCAGGAGAGCCAGGGAAGAGGAGGCGCCAGCTCGTTCTTACTTGTAGGAAATCCCCGTTTCTTTGATCCTCGCATCCCTTTGATCTCTCGACACTCTCGGTCCGATCCTCCGGCAGTGTTACGCGAGTAACGCATCCCCTTCTCCCTTTTCTGCCTATCCCGTGGCGCCCGACGAAGTGGTGCCACCTAACAAAACAATTTCAAAGCCTCTTCAATGTACCCGCGCGGCATTGTGTGTTTGCACGAATAAAATCCCTGGTCCATTGGCTTTGCCCTTTGCTTTTGCCGGCGCATCGGCCTCCGCCAAAGACCGGGAAAGAACCTGCCGTTTATGGTACGCCCGGAAGCGACACTTTGCGGAAAGTCGCCGATCGAGTTGGGATTCCCCAACAGAGCACCTATGCAAAAAGGACATCAAATTTACGGACAATTTTTCGACGTCCGACGTCAAATTAATGACATGGTAGACCTTGCTGACGTTAAGACGTTCGCGGGGTGAACATCGATAAACGTCGAGTAGACGTTAATATTGACATTGTCTTGACATAATCTTGACATAATCTTGACATAATCTTGACATAATCTTGACATAATCTTGACATAATCGATGTTAAATTGAGATAATCTTGACATAATCTTGACATAATCGATGTTAAATTGACGTCGCGGGGTGAACATCGAAAAACGTCGAGTAGACGTTAATCTTGACATTCGATGTTAAATTGACGTAAAGGAGACGTTCGCGGGGTGAACATCGATATACATCGAGCAGACGTTAATCTTGACATTCGATGTTAAATGGACGTCAAGTAAACGACGAAAAACATCAAGTAAACGTTGAAGTCGCCGATCGAGTTGGGATTCCCCAACGGAGCACGTATGCTAAAAGGACGTCATATTTACGGCTAATTTTTCGACATCCGACATCAAATTAATGAAATGGTAGATCTTGCTGACGTTAAGACGTTCGCGGGGTGAACATCGATAAACGTCGAGTAGACGTTAATATTGACATTCGATGTTAAATTGACGTAAAGGAGACGTTCGCGGGATTAACATCGATAAACGTCGAGTAGACGTTAATCTTGACATTCGATGTTAAATGGACGTAAAGTAACCGACGAAAAACGTCGAGTAAAAGTCGAAAGGCGCCGATCAAGTTAGGATTCCCCAACGGAGCACGTATGCAATAAGGACGTCATATTAGGTTGTCCCATAAGTTTCTTCCCTTTTTTTCATAGGACATGAATACACTATGCGGAAGGAACTTATGGGACAACCTAATATTTACGGCCAATTTTTCGACGTCCGACATCAAATTAATGAAATGGTAGACCTTGCTGACATTAAGACGTTCGCAGGGTGAACATCGATAAACGTCGAGTAAACGTGAATGTTGACATTCGACGTTAAGTTGACGTAAAGGAGACGTTCGCAGGGTGACAATCGAGAAAACGTCCAGTAGACGTAAATCTTGACATTCGATGTTTAATTGATGTAGAAGAGACGTTCGCGGGATGAACAGGGAAAAAACGTCGAGTAAACGTCAACCATGACATTGGATAAATATCAACCATGACATGCGATAGACGTCAATCTAGACATTCGACGTTAATTGACGTAAAGGAGACGTTCGTGGGATGAACATCGAAAAAACGTCGAGTAGACGTTAATCGTGAAATTCGACGTTAAATTGACGTAAAGGAGACGTTCGCGGGATGAACTGCGAAAAAACGTCGAGTAAATGTCAAGCATGACATTGGATAAATGTCAACCATGGCATTCGATAAACGTTGAGTAGACGTCAATCTAAACATTCGACGTTAATTGACGTAAAGCAGACGTTCGTGGCGTGAACATCGAAAAAACGTCCAGTAGACGTCAACCATGACATTCAATAGACGTTAACCATGACATTCGATAGACCTCAACCATGACATTCGATAAACGTCAAATGTACGTAAATTTCGCAATAGCGACAGTCCGTAAGCGAAATCCCCACGACAGTCTCTATTGCAAAGTTTACGTAAATTTTACGTCTATTGAACGTCAAGATTGACGTCAACTCGACGTTCATCCAATCTTCGCACCGCGGATATTCGGACGTCTACCTTACGTCAATTTAATGTCGACAAGGTCTAATATTACGTTCATTTGACATCAAAAGTCCAAAACTTCCACGTCAATTTGACGTCGTTTTCACATATGTGCTCCGTTGGAGTATTTACTTAGGACGAAAAAATGTTAAAGCTTCTTCAAAGTATCTGCTCGGCATTATACTTCCTGAATAAAATTCGTGAGTTATTATCTTTCCCCTGATCCTTTGCTTTGATGTTGTCAATTTTATTTAAAAAGACCACACGAAATGAGATTCGCTCACCTGTAGTTTGCTTTATGACCGGAAGCGACGCTTTGCTGGTATCGTCAATCAAATTTGAATGCTGTCATATGAAAGTGCAAATATGGGTTTCAATCAATATAGGATGTCACCAATCTGTCTCTACAAATCAAGAATTTCCTACTACAAGTTAATACAAATGTATTAGTAATGGACAAAACATTTTTATTGTTGGTGCGATTATTTATGCAGCACGGGCGAAACTTTATCGGCAATGCCTTTTCTAAAAATGTTAATTTCTTTTTTTATGCATAACCACGTTCCGTCCGATTTTTTTTCACGGTATTTTTATGTAATCTTTG